CCCTGATGTGTGGGCAAGTAGTTTGGGGCAGAGGACACCTATTTGAATCGGGTTGCAGCGCTTACTCATTGGTGCTGGGCAGGCACAACGGAAAGCATTCACAGATGGCTCCCAGAAAGCGAAGGTGCATCTGCTAAGTTGAACCTTATCACGACTGGCAGGTAGTTTATAAAGCTCCCTACTTAGCCAGGTAACTATGAAAGATTCCTGCCAACCCACTTGGTAAGCCAAACACTGAGAAGGCCCGGTTCCTGTCTCCTGCTGCAGAGAAGGGCGCTCATGACTAAGACGGAGCATGGCCGAGCTGTAGAGGGCAGAAGGGACTCTGCAGATGTAACTGAACCCAGCTGGGTCACCCTGAGGACCACTGGGGTATGAGGAGCTGCTCCCTCTGGCTGTTTTAAAGATTCTCTGTCGCCCTAACCGGCTTGGCTCAGTGGATAGAGCGTCGGCCTGCGGACTCAAGGGTCCCGGGTTCGATTCCGGTCAAGGGCATGTACCTTGGTTGTGGGCACATCCCCAGTGGGGAGTGTACAGGAGGCAGCTTATCGATGTTTCTCATCGATGTTTTTAATTCTCTATCCCTCTCCCTTCCTCTCTGTAAAATATCTATAAAAAATATATTTAAAAAAAATAAAATAAAAAAAAATAAAGATTCTCTGTCTTCACCTCTCAATGGTTTTATTGTGATGTGTCTAGGTGAGGCTCCTTTGAAATCCTACTTGGAGTTTCCTGAGCTGCTTAGCTGTATAGATTGTTTCAATAAATTTGGGACATTATTTCTTCAAATACTCTCCTGCTGGCTTTAAAGAAGGCTGTTGCCATGTTGTGGAGACAATCAGGTGACAGGAGATGGCAAATAGCCTCTACGACAGTGGTTCTCAACCTTCTGGCCCTTTAAATACAGTTCCTCATGTTGTGACCCAACCATAAAATTACTTTTGTTGCTACTTCTTAACTGTAATGTTGCTACTGTTATGAATCGTAATGTAAATATCTGATATGCAGGATGGTCTTAGGTGACCCCTGTGAAAGGGTCATTCGACCGCCAAAGGGGCTGTGACCCACAGGTTGAGAACCCCTGCTCTATGAGCTGAAAAACGCCCCTGTTTACAGCAAGAAAGCAGGCCCGTCAGCCCTATGCCTGGAAGGAACTGGATCTGGCCAAGCACCAGGAAGCTGGAAGAGGAGTGTGGCCTAGAAGAGATGGAAGACCCAGACCACACTTTGAGTTTAGCCTGGTAAGGACTCGAGCAGAGGAGCCAGAGGACACACGCCGCAAAACTACAAGATAATAAATGTGTGTAGTTTCGAGCTGTTAAGTTTGTGGTAGTTATGTAAGAGAAAACTAATAAAGCAGTCAAAGAGGAGAACTTCCAAGACGTGATTTTGAAAATAATAGCTTCAAAATGTTACTTGAATTCAGCTAATTTCTCTAGGGGCGTTTAGCATTCATTAATTCATTCACAGTAGTTATTAAATGCCTACTTTGTTCCTGTAGGTATTGTGCTGGGTGCTGAGCACACAAGGTGAGCGAGAGCAGGTAGGCAGGGAAGGCACAGGGGAACAGCAGGGCCTGGCCTCGTCTTGAAGATACAGATTGCCGACTAGTCAAGATTGGGTACCAGGTCAGGACGACATCTGCAACCTGTATGTCTTGAGGTTCAGACCCAGGGTAAAAATCTAAAATAATGGGTCTCAATTCTGTATATTAAAAATCAGCCAAGAATGGAGGGAATCCAATTAGACACAAAACAATGTTCCTGCTCTACACCATACCAATTAAGTCAAATTACCCAGGTAGAATCCAGGTATTCAGGTTGATTTTAACTGTAACCAGGATTAGAACCTTAATGTAAAGCTTTTCAAACTCCTCTGAACATCAAAATTATTGTCCCAGAACCTGGGTTTGAACCCGGTCTGAAGGTGAGGTATTTTGTCCTCCCGATGGAGAGGGGAGTGAGGGCACCAGCAGCAGATGCCAGCGAGATGAGGCTTTGTGAAAAGCACCGCATGACCCAAAGTAACTGAAATGAAGTGCTGAAGATCAAACAGTAAATGAACTCTGTGATTACTGGCAATAAATTTAATATCCTGACCATATTTGACTTAAGCTAGTATTAAAATAAGTTGAATGTTGTGCAGCACCAGGCCAGATAAACCAAGGAAAAACTTCCTGTAATGTCGTGATTAGAAAAGTTAGGATGATAAATCCTAGTTCAGTTTTAATGTGCATGTCCAGAGAAAATGGAGAGTATGTTCAGAGTTAGTTGCTTCCATTCAGGCCCTTGTTATGGTAATGGGAAGTCTAAAGTATGTTTCAGGAGGGAATACTTCAATAACTCAATTACAAAAGCACACTCTCACATAGATGCACATATACTTACATGCTATTACTAAAGATAGAAGGCTGTACTTAAGGGTTTTGTATTTACTGGCTGATCTGTGATTTTGAAAACTACAACAGAAATATCGGTTTTTGAGCCCTATTCTGTTTGGCTCAGTGGATAGAGCTGTCAGCCTGTGGTCTGAAGGGTCCCAGGTTCGATTCTGGTCAAGGGCACTTGCCCGGGTTACGGGCTCAATCCCCAGTAGGGGGCTTGCAGGAGGCAACTAATCAATGATTCTCTCTGATCACTGATGTTTCTATCTCTCTCTCCTTCTTCCTTCCTCTCTGAAATAAAAATATATTTTAAAAAAAAGAAATACCAGTTTTTTACTTACAAATCCACCAAATCATTTAACCACCTCCCATTGTACCTCTCTAATCCAAAGCTGGCTTAATGCTTAAAATAAAGGTTGCCAGTGAAATGCTCTTTTGGATACATGTTGAGAAATTTTACAAAAGGATCATCAATCAAAAATATTAATATCAGAAAAACAATTTTAAATAAGTGCTTTAATAAGACCTGCCTTTGTTGCTTTGACCTTGAACAGCTTAGCTTATTACTATACAATGAATTGGAGAAGTACATGAACTGTGACCCTTCCAAAGAAACCTTTCAGAGAATTCTCCGATTCTTCTTCAAACCCGCAACCTGGGTATGTGCCCTGACTGGGATTTGAACCCGCAACACTTTGGTTCACAGGATGACGGCTCCAACCAACTGAGCCATACCAGCCAGGGCTCCTTGAGCTCCTTTAGAGAAGGAGCTGAGTGCTCGTTTGCATTTGAAAATATGTTAAGTATTCCTTGGAATCATCCTTTCCGTTATCCCTGCCGGGACCCAAGTGGTCCACATTATCAACTCTGCCCAAGGCCAAAGGATGGCTGGTAGGGGTGGCTGTGGAAGGAGGATGATAGAGAAGAAAAAAAATGCCACCTTCATAATTATACACAAATAAACACAATCAAGTACTTTTAGTCTGAAAGCAGAAGTCTGGCTTTTAAAAGCACTACATATATATAAAGGCTAGTTAGTTTATATAGAGAGTAAAATAACAATAGCCATATGTGGGATTTAAGCTTAGAAGACCATGACACTGACAGGAAGAGAACAGTAGAAACAACACACACAGGAATGTCTGATATTTACTTTGGCGTATGATGGGTCAGGAATTGGTTGAACGCTCTACATATATTAATTAATCTTCATAATAGTCCTGAGGCAGAATACTGCCTAGTAATAGAAATAATAGTATCCTATGTTTTCTACTTAACAGGTCATTACAGAAGACAGTAGGCACATGTTTCTCTTTGGGGGCTTAAAATACAACAAAACACCACCTTGGTATCAGGGTGTCTCAAATATACGAATTCTGCCTCCCTACCTCACTCCCCAAATCAAAGAGAGTGTTCCAAATGTGGCACAGAACAGGAAGGTTTGTGCTCTTTTTAAATTCAAGAATTCATTATATCTTAGCAAACTTTCACCCACATTTTCCTATTAGGCCCCATATGGCCAGGTGGCCTTAGACCAGGGGTGGGCAACCCCTGGCACGCGTGCCAAACATGGCAAGCCAGTAACTTTTGCTAGCACATGAAACCCTCTCTTATAATCTTCCATTTACAATTTTTTTCTTAATATCGACTTTTTTATTTTTCAGATAAATTCAGTGTAGGTGCATCTTAGATAAATAAATAATTTTACATAACAAGTTATCTTAAAGACCATAGACATGGATTGATGAGAGAGGGTAAGAGCTATTTCTATGCCTCTGCCTTAACTCTCCCTGCCTTCCTAGATCCGACCAGTGTTTTGGTTTCATCCACATACAGTTGTGAATCTTTGTTCTCAGTGATGAATTTTGTTAAGTCTCATAATAGGAGTAGCCTGACGGATGAAAGTAGTAGCTCGTGCATATCTCTGAAGGTCACGAAATATAAACCTGATGTAAAATCTCTGTCATCAGTGATACAGCAGCAAAAAGTCCCACTGATAATATCAAACGGAGTCATAAAGTTTTCTGTCGGACTATCAGTGTACATGTATACATTAAAAAATAAATGTATTTTCATCATCATATACTGTGTTTTTGTCACTCGAATGAATTTTATTATTTCTTCAAGGTTCTTCACATACATATACCTTAAGAGATATCAAGTTGGCGTAACATGTTCTCAAAAAATTAGGGTTGGCACGCAGAAGAATCCTGAGTCAGAGATTTTGCTGGTTTTGGCACGCACTCACAAAAAGGTTGCCCACCCCTGCCTTAGACCTAAGTCTGTCTTCAAAGTACATGTCATAAAACTAACTTAAGGGAAACCGATTCCTTGTAAGAGACACTAACCTGCTTTCACATTAAAAAGATAAATAGATGCCTAAGACAACCATGAGCCCCTCATACAAGATGTGGGATCTTTAACATTCACAAACTGGAGCGAGGGAGAGCTGGAGAGAGGAGAGAAGGGGCAGGAGACAACTCTCGGCTTTCCCAGAGGCGGGCCAGAGTCTGCCTGTCAGCTTGGGGGTTGGTGGGTCTGCAGTTTCAGGATAAGGCCCTTTCTCTGACGGTAGGACAGCCTGTCATAAGGCTGCGCTGCAGCGCCTTGGACATACCTTTCTCACGTCGGAACTCTTTGGTTCTGTTGTCCAGGTTATAATTCTAGAAACAGCAAGCCTGGTCTCACTAGAGTTTATAAAGTCAATTGGATCCATCTGTCTCGCGAGAGACTCAATGTACTTCAGGATTGCAACTTTGACCTGAAAGATCCAATCATTACGAACATTAAGTACACTTTGTGAGTCTTTGAGTAGAATTCTTAACTGGTCATCAGAGAAAAGTAAACCCTACTGAAGCGACACCACCTTTCTGCTGGGTTTGTGGTTCCACACGGAGCCAGCATCCATCAGGACAGGAAGTGTGGGATGACTGAGAGTGTGTGTGGCACAGGAGTGCATGCAGCCTAATGCTCCTCGGTTCCAGAGCCGGCAGGGAAGGCGTGCCCCGCTCCTCGCCTCGCTGCAGGACACGCAGAGGGCGGAGCTCTTGTGGGGAGCCCGAGGGATTTTGAGCTCTGCCAGGTACTGGGATGGCAAGTACAAGGCTGCAGCTAGCGTTGCTTTTTAGACAGCCTAGGCCAGTGATGGCAAACCATTTAAGCTCGGCGTGTCAGCATTTTGAAAAACCCTAACTTAACTCTGGTGCCGTGTCACATATAGAATTTTTTTGATATTTGCAACCATAGTAAAACAAAGACTTATATTTTTGATATTTATTTTATATATTTAAATACCATTTAACAAAGAAAAATCAAAAAATGAGTTTGCATGTCACTTCCGACATGTGTGTCATAGGTTTGCCATCACTGGGCTAGGCCATGTGTTGCAAGGCAGCACGTTCAGTAACCAAGCTGATACTCCGCCCTAACGTCTCCACTGATGTCCCAATTGGTTCTGACCTCAGGAGAAAAGGGCTGCTACTGACAGGGCCTGTCCTAAACCCCAATGATCAAAGAACAGGTGCTGTACATGACTTAACTCACATGAACACATATCTTGCCTCCAATTTAGTCTTGTTATTATAGGTATGATTTTACAACAACATGTAACAAGTTAATCATCATATGTTAGAATGTAAATATTTTTTAAAATTCCAATAAGATACATGTATCTCAACAAATCAGAATTTTCTAGTTTAAATATTGTGACAGAGTAATAATACCCAAATGTTGGCAGGGATGTGGAACAACTAGAACTCTCATAAAATTGCTGGTAGGTATATAATACAACCATCTGAACAGTTTAAAATAAAGTTAAACATATGCCTACCCAATAAATTAGCAATTTCTCTATTGAGTACGGAACCAAAAGAAATGAAAGCAAGTCCACAAAGAGGTGGACAAGAATGCCCCCAGCAGGCATATGTGGAACCGGCAAATACAAGGGAACCGATGTCACATCTAGCGGCTGAATTGTAAGGACAAATCATTACCAACCTTGAGGTTAGGAGTCTGAGTTTGATCCACAATAAATCTCATCAAGATGTTAAATTGTTGATCAAATGGAAAGGAGTCCCTGGGTAAAAAGAAAAAAGTGCTTGTTCTTTAAGAAAAATTTGTAACAAAAAATAATGTAAAACCATATAAAAACAAAAAATAAACTGTTATAGATTAACATATGTAAATGCAAGCCTGTTCACATTTTTTAAACAGTACTTTTCATTTTATATTAAATACTAAAGTAACACACATTACAGAAAACATTTTTAAAAAGGAAGTCTTGTTAAACATCTCAAAACACATACTAAACTTACTTTGAGTAAGCTAGTTTAAAAATAAATATGAAGCAATAAGGAAAAGATTCGTACTTGTCTTCTAGGGGTCTGCTCAACTTCTCTCCAGCTTTCTAAATAATGCTTATCGGAAAACACTGCCTATTTCCAAATCTTAGTTTTACACCCTGATTAGGCAGCTTATAGCTGACCTCGCTTAAGCTAACTGCACTGTCCTCCTTCTGGTGAGGGCTTATAATCGCCACTTGGCATAATCACGAGAACAGCGCCTGTGGGGCACTCAGCGAAAACCCGCACATGCAACTACCGAACATATATAGAAACCGGGGTCCCGGCAGGCCCCTCCTGCTCCATTTCTTACTTGGTGCCAATCTCTTTCCTTTAGTCATCTCACACCTTTAGTCCAACTGAGTGACACTGAGGGCTCTCGCCTAGTGAAAAGTCAGTGCTCTATCCCCCTTAAAATGCTGCCATTACTAGTCTCAGTGTAAAAGTGCATAACGGAGCCCATGTGGACTAACAGGAAAGATACTGCAATGCAAACATCTATTACAATTGAGGCTGAGCAATTGCACTGATGTCCTGGGACTCTCTTAGAAACTTTTCTCAATCTACAGTAGTAGTAAAAAAAAAAAAAAAAAAAAATGGATGCAGGTTCAAAACCATGAAAATCACAGGACAGATGTGACATTTAAATGAAATAATACAAGAAAGATGTAAAGTGCATGGCACATACTAGGTACTAGTATTGGTAGCATTATAATCCTATCTAATAAAAGAGAAACATGGTAATTAGCCATACCTCCGCTACCCTTCCCATTGGCTAATCAGAGTGATATGCAAATTAACTGCCAGCCAAGATGGCGGCCGGCAGCCAGGCAGCTTGAAACTAACATGAGGCTTGCTTGCTTCAGTGACGGAGGAAGCCAACGTTCCCCGCCTGCCTTGCTGGCCTCTGAGCTTGCAGTTTGAAACATTGTAACAAATATAGAAGCTAAACAAAACCCCAGAAACCTGCTTTCAGTGAGCCGGGATCTCAGAGCTGGAGTTATACATTGTTTTGATTATAGAACCCAAACAAACCAGATACCTGCTTTCACAGCAGAGGCCTCAGAGCTGGAGCCAGAGTTAAAGCTGGCCCAGAATAAAAAAAGAAAAAAAGAAAAAAAGGAGCAGATGGGAGCCTCAGCCCTCAGCCCCTCACCCAGACTGGCCATGCACCCCAGTGGGGACCCCCACCCTGAAGGGTGTGTGACCAGCTGCAAACAGCCATCATCCCCTCACCCAGGCTGGCCAGGCACCCCAGTGGGGACCCCCACCCTGATCCAGGACATCCTTCAGGGCAAACCAGTCAGCCCCACCCATGCACCAGGCCTCTATCCTATATAGTAAAAGGGTAATATGCCTCCAAGCACCGGGATCAGCGGAGCCACGAGGCCTCCCAGCACCGGGATCAGCGTGACAGGGGGCAGCGCCCAAACCCCCTGATCGCCCTGCGGCTCTGTGTGTGACAGGGGGCGGGGCCACAACCTCCCTATCCGCCCTGCTCTGTTCGTGACAGGGGAAGGTGCCCCAACCTCCTGATCAGTACTGCTCTGTGCCTGATACGGGGGAGCTCCCCAAACCCCTGATCGTCCTGCGGCTCTGTGTGTGACAGGGGGCGGCGCCCCAACTCCCCTATCGGCCCTACTCTGTGAGTGACAGGGGGGAGCTCCTCAACCCCCTGATGGGCCCTGCTCTGTGCGTGACAGGGTAAGGAGCCCCAACCCCCCTGATGGGCCCTGCTCTGTGCATGACAGGGGGCAGCGCCCCAACCCCCGGATTGGCCCTGCTCTGTGTGTGACAGGGGGTAGCACCGCAACATCCCCATCGACCCTGCCTTGAGTGTGACAGGGGGCGGTGCCCCAACCCTCCAATCGGCCCTACCCTGAGCATGACTGAGGGTGGCATCGCAACCTCCCGATCCGCCCTGCTCTTTTGCATGACAGGGGGCGGCGCCCCAACTCTCCAGTCGGCCCTGCTCTGAGCCCGACCAGGGGCTGCACCTAGGGATTGGGTCTGCCCTCTGCCACCCGGGAGCAGGCCTAAGCCAGCAGGGCGTTATCTCCCGAGGGGTTCCAGACTGCTAGAGGGCACAGGCCAGGCTGAGGGACCCTTCCTTCCCCCCGCGTGCACAAATTTTTGTGCACTGGGCCTCTAGTTATTAATAAGAAGTAAACTTGACCCAACAGCACATCCTTTTCTACCATCCAGGAAGCTGTGAGGACCACTTCTGGGAGCAAAGTACACGTTAGAATACATGATTTAAATGACTCACATGCCTGTAAATTAAAGAAACGAGGTCAACAAACCACACACAAAATGTCTCTCCTTTCTTCTGTAGCAAATAACTGATGTGTTTAACCGGGAAATGTGCCCTGTTAGCACAGCTGAAGGACAGGAAGCTGAGGCAGATTTGCAATCAGGTCTATTACCCGAGGAAGAGCTCGCAGCCAACACTGAGCCCCTGGATACGCACTGATCCCAGATAACCTTAAGCAGCTAGACAACGCAGCTGCTGAGACAGGAATGAGAAACATGCTTTAGAGACCAAGACCAAATACAAGGAGAACAAGATTCTTAAAGGAAAGAGACATCCAAAAAAGTTAACAGAAAGGAATAATCGTTTTTCTTAATCACCAAAGGATGGGAATATGATCATAATATTCCTGCCATCCCCTAAAAATCTGAAACAAATCTTGTCATTCATAAATTTCCTTAAATTTAGCAAGTGACCTATAGGCCAAGTCGGGCTCACAGTGTTTTATTTGGCTTTCACAATACCTAGTATGTGCCATACACTTTACATTTTTCTTGTAGCATTTCATTTAAATTTCACATCTGTCCTATAATTTTTGTAGTTTTGAACCTGCATCCCTTTTCTTTTTCATAAAAAAAAGAAAAAATTCTTGAATATGTTGCATTAATCCACATTTCTGACCTTCCTTGAAAAGTCTGGAACCACTGGGCCCAGGTTCCAACACGGCCACCACTGATCACACTTCTCCACATTATCCATAATCCTCCCCTCTTACCTACTTCACTCATTTTTATCACCTGGATCAGCCTAACGCTTGCAGTCAATGCTTTATAAATCCATTGCTAAACTGAGGTACAGGGATGTTCCCTAATTCTGGCCTATATGTGGAATCTTAAAAAAGAACAAGCCAAACCCAAAGAAACAGAGAGTCGAATGGTGGTTGTCAGTGGTTAGGAGGAGGAGGAAATGAGATGTTGGTCAAACGGTACAAACTTTCAGTTATAACATGAGCAAGTTCTGGGATCTAACGTACAGTGTGGTAATTATAGTTAACAATACTGTATTATACACCTGGAAGGTCCTAAAGACAATAGAGCTGAGATGTTCTCACCAACACAACAAAAAGATGATAATTATGTGATAATATATACATGAAACAAAATCATCACACTGTACACTTTAAACTTACACAATGTTCTATGCAACTACATCTCACAAGCTGGGGGAAAATGGTCTACTTCTGAAACACTTACCTTGTGACATCTAGAGCTTTCTGAACTTTCGCTTGCACAGATCCAAGTAAATCTGCCCCCATTTTCTTAAGTAATTGTGTGAGAAGAACAAAAAGCCAGTCTTGCAAATCATCCTTATGAATTATTATAAAATCAACAAGAGTCTCCAAAAACATACTGAAAACCTAGACACAAATAAAAACAGAACATTTCACATATTTAATTCAGAATTCCCTCCAAGGTCCCCAAACCATTAAAAATGCCTATACTGGCTTGGCCCAATCTCTTACAAGCTAGGTTAACACTGTTAACAACTGATCATACCACAGAAGACAAATGTATTAAAGAAAATTAGGGAAAAAGAATTGGAACTTACTCTCTGATGTGATTTCCACCGCAAACCAGGTCATGCAACAAAACAAATGCCTTTGTTAGTCCAGAGTGAATTAATACAATTTTCATGCAGTTTACTCAAAGACCTGAAATGGCTACAAGTTGATACCACACTCTCTCCTCCCTCAATACGCCTTTAAAATCCATACACAGAGAGAAATAACTTTGCTGAAAAGTATTAGTTTGTTGATTTATTTATCTTTAATGATTAGATTAATCTAGAGCAGCGGTTCTCAACCTGTGGGTCGCGATCCCTTTGGGGGTTGAACGACCCTTTCACAGGGATCACCTAAGACCATCAGAAAACACATATATAATTACATATTATTTTTGTGATTAATCACTATGCTTTACTTATATTCAATTTGTAACAATGAAATTGGGGGTCACCACAACATGAGGAACTGTATTAAAGGGTCGTAGCATTAGGAAGGATGAGAACCACTGATCTAGAGTCATCTTTCTTTCTTTCTTTTTGGTTAAGCCTCACCCAAAGATATGTTTTTCATTGATCCCTAGAGAGAGTGTAAGGGAGGGGCAGAGACAGAGAGAGAAACATCGATGTGAGAGACACACATTCATTGGTTGCTTCCCACACATGCCCCAACTGGGGCCAGAGATCAAGCCTGCAATTGAGGTATGTGCCCTTGAACAGAATCGAACCCGTAACCTTTAAGTCTGCTGGCTGATGCTTTAACCACAGAGCCATTCTGGCCAGGGTGGCGTTTTTCTTTCTTAAAAGAAAAACACACATTTAAATCATCATAATTCTATACTATTATTTTTCATTATCTATCATTAAAAAAATACTATGATAGGAAGACTTTCCATCAAGAAGAAAAAGTAGGTGTAGATACTGTGCTTGCCTCCTCCATGGCCACATCAAAACTACAACTAAATTATAGAACAACCATCACCAAAAACCATCTGAAGACTAGCTGATCAGAAGTCCTATAATGAAGGCTATACAGAAAAGCCAGTGAGACTGGTAGGAGGGGTGGAGACCCAGAACAGGCTTGTCCAACATCCCTGAGTGAAGGTTAAGAATTGGGAGGGAGCTTTCCGTGCTACCCAGGGAGGGCTCCTCCATACTGTGTTGTTCTCGGTTCCCACGTAACTTATAGGGAAACTTCTCACAATGACCGGAGCCCTTGGTGTCCTGCAAATGAAGGAGGAGGATGTCCTCAAGTTCCTTGCAGCAGGAACCCACTTAGGTGGCACCACCTTGACTTCCAAATGGAACAGTCCATCTACAAAAGGAACAGTGATGGCATCTACATCATCAATCTGAAGAGGACCTGGGAGAAGCTTCTGCTGGCAGCTCGTGCCATTGTTGCCATCGAAAACCCAGCTGACGTCAGTGTCATATCGTCCAGGAATACTGGCCAGTGAGCTGTGCTGAAGTTTGCTGCTGCCACTGGAGCCACTCCTACTGCCAGCCGCTTCACTCCTGGAACCTTCACCAACCAGATCCAGGCAGCCTTCCGGGAGCCAAGACTTCTGGTGGCTACTGGCCCCAGGGCTGACCACCAGCCTCTCACAGAGGCGTCTTATGTTACCCTGCCCACCATCGCTCTGTGCAACACAGACTCTCCTCTGCGCTATGTGGACATTTCCATCCCTTGCAACAAGGGGGCTCACTCAGTGGGTTTGAAGTGGAGGATGCTGACCCGAGAAGTACTCCATATGCGTGGCACTATCTCCCGTGAGCACCCATGGGAAGTCATGCCTGATCTTTACTTCTACAGAGATCCTGAAGAGATTGAAAAGGAAGAGCAGGCTGCTGCTGAAAAGGCTGTGGCCAAGAGGAATTTCAGGGTGAACGGACTGCCCCTGCTCCTGAGTTCACTGCTGCCCAGCCTGAAGTTACAGGCTGGTCTGAAGGCGTGCAGGTGCCTTCTGTACCCAACCCATTCAGCAGTTTCCTACTGAAGACTGAAGTGCTCAGCCTGCCACTGAAGACTGGTCTGCAGCCCCCACTGCTCAGGCTACTGAATGGGTAGGAACAACCACTGAGCGGTCCTAAGCTGTTCTTCCACAAATTCTTAACAGAACGGAAATAAGGTTGATGGAAAATAAACAGTTTCTAAAAAAAAAAAGAATTGGGAGGGATAACTAGGCCGTGGAGGACCTCCTAAGAAGCAAGAGGTCCCAGCCCCACACCGAGTTCCCCAGCCCAGGGCATCAGAGCCTGAAAGGTAAGTCCCTTACATCGGGCTGTGAAAACCAGCACTAATTGTGTCTGAGAAAGACAAGAGACTGCTAGAATGAAGGTGCTGCAGGTCTTAACGGGGCCCACACAGGACTCACGTAACTCGGAGCTGCAGTGTAGCAGTAGTAGCTGGGATAGCTCTCTCCGGGACAAAAGTGCTGGCCACTGTTCCTTTGTTGATCCTCACCCCACCCAAGTGGCAGGTGCCGTCAAGTGCCAAGTCTGAACTCTTCATTAATCTGGCTAACACTCTTCACTGCACTCTGATGATTCCCTGAAACCCTGTCCCACCCAAGTTATGACCCTGGCCAGAACCCCTTTCAGGGACTATTCCACACAAGCAGCTAAAATGGCATGCACTGTGGAATTTTCTAAGGTCTCTCAAAAATCCACAAACCCCAAACAAGCAGCAGTTGGTCTCAGCATTCTCCATACTTCTTCCCAGGGAGCCCCAAGCCTACCACAGGAGGCTACCAACTACAGATCAGTTTTTAGCTCCTAATAGGTAGCCCCTAGGCAGACACAGGCAGAAGTTGACATGGGCCTGCACTAGAGTCCTTCCCAAGAGTCCCAAGAACCAACACGCCTGGTGGCCAGGTTCAGACCACATCAGCGTACCACCGAACCACCTCCATAAACAACACACACACAAAGAGAAGACTCAGCAGGCAGCAGAGCCCTGCTAAAGCAAATATTGCTCTGTGGGGTCAACCACTGCACAACAGCTGGCCCACTGTAGTCATGGCCAGTCCTCATAGCCAGTTATCCTGAGGGTCAATCTCACACGCTGATGTGCCAACAACAATCAAGGCTAAATTACAACAGGAAACGACACACAAAACCCGCACAAGGGAGCACCCTGCTCAGGTGGCCAGGAAGTCCACCACAGGACCTGAAAGGACACCTATTACTTAAGGCCACTGTCAACTGGGAGATGCAGCAGCTCTACCTAATACATACAAACAGAGGGAAGCAGCCAAAATAAGGAGAAAAAGAAACATGTCCCAAATGAAAGAACTGGACAAAACTCCAGAAAAATAATTAAATGAAATGAAGGCCAGCAATGTACCAGATTGAGTTCAAAACACAGCTAATAAGAATGCTCCATGAATTTATAGGAAGAATAGATAATCTCAGTGTGAACTTCAACAAAGAGACAGGAAACATAAAAAAAGAGTTAAAAAATATATAAAAAAAAGAACTAGTCAGAAATAAAGAATACCATAACTGAAATGAAAAGTACATTACATAGAATCACCAGCAGATTAGAAAAGCCAGAGGACTGAATCAGCAACATGGAAGAAAAGGTTGTGGAAAACAACCCATTAGAAAGCAAAAAGAAGAAAAAAAAATTAAGGATAGTTGAAGCCAGGGTTTGCCAACTGGTGGTCCATGGACCACTGGTGGTCTGTGAGGTCCGAAAGGTTGGCGACCACAGGTTTAAGGAAACCTTTGGAGTAGCGGTCACCAACCGGTGGTCCACAGACCACTGGTGATCCATGAGGTCCGAAAAGTTGGTGACTGCTGGTTGAAGGGACCTCTTGGACAATGTCAAGCATATTAACATTCGTGTTATGGGGGTGCCGGAAGGAGAAGAGAGAGATCAAGAGATGGAAAGCCTATTTGAATAAATAATGACTGAAAACTCCACTAACCTGGAAAAAATAAGGTAGTTATAAAAGGCCAGAAAGTGCAGAGACTCCAAAACAAGATCAGCCGAAAGAGGCCCATATGAAGATATCATAATTAAAATGGCAAAGTTTAAAGACAATTTTAAAAGCAGCAAGAGAAAGACAGCTACTTATAAAGGAACTCCCATAAGATGTCAGCTGATTACTCAACAGAAACTTTGCAGGCCAGAAAGGACTGGCACGAAATATTCAAAAGGATGAAAAGCAAGGACCTACAACCAAGATTACACTAGGAAATATTCAGTGATGAAAAGCAAGAACTTACAACCAAGGTTACTCTATCCAGAGCAAGGTTATCATCTAGAATTGAGGGTGAGCTAAAGAGTTTCCCAGCTAAAATAAACCTAAAAAAATCCATCACCACCAAACCAGCATTATAGGAAATATTAATTCTCTAGAAGTCTAGAGAAAAACAATATGTAATATATGAATATGAAAATAAGTAAAGAAAAAATTCTCACTAACAAAGGCAAACATAATAAAAGCAGATCAACCAACTATAAAGCTAACACAAAGATTAAAAGGCAATTGTGTATAATTACAACAATAAATTAAGAGATACACTTAAAACACACACAAAAGAAATATTAAAAATATGACAAAAACATAAATATGGGGGAAGAGAATAAAAATGGTAGGGATTTTGTGAATGTTTTCAAACTTAAGTGACCATCAACTTAAAATAGATTATTACAAACGAGTATATATGAAGCACACAGTAACCAAAAATCTACAAAGATTTATACAAAAAGTAAAGAGAAAGGAATCTAAAACAACACTACACAAAGTCATCAACATACAAGAGAAGAGAGTAAGAGAATAAGGCAGCAATAAAGAGATATAAAAACAATAATAAAATGCCAATAACCACATGCTTACTTTAAATGTAAGTAATTAGTTACTTTAAATGTAAATGTACTAAATGCTCCAATCGAAAGATATAGGGTGAGTAAAGGGATAAAAACAAAAACCAAAACACAAGACCTATGTGTTTTTGTGACCTATGTGACCTAGGCATCTTATATATGATGCCTATAGGAGACCTTTTTCAGATCAAAAAACACACAGCCTGTAAGTAAAGGAATGGGAAAAGACACTTTCAAAATAAAGTTTCAAACAAAGGTTGTAACAAGAGACAAAAAAAGGACATTTCATAATGATAAAGGAACCAATTCAATAGGAGGATATAACTTTTAAACATTTTACGTACCCATCATAGGTGCTGAGCACCTAAGTATGTAAAGCAAATATTGATAGAACTAAAGGGAGCGATCAACAAGTAATACAATTATTGCAGGGGACTTTAACACCTATTGATATCAATGGACTGACTTAAATGACACAATCCATCAGATTATCTAATAACCCATATTTTTAGGACATTTCACCCAAAAGCAAGAGACTATACATTTTTTCAAGTGCACAAGGACCATTTCCCAGTACAGATGAACTATTAGGCCACAAAACAAGTATCAATAAAATTTAAAAGACTGAAATCATAACAAGCGTATTCTCTGATCATAATGGCAGGAAACTAGAAATCAATTACAAAAAACACACAGACACATGGAGGCTAAATAACATGCTACTAAAAAATAAATGGGGTTAATAATGTGGTTTTAAAAAATCAAGACATCTAGAGACAAATAAAAACACAACAACCCGCCAAAACCGGTTTGGCTCAGTGGATAGAGCGTCGGCCTGCGGACTGAAAGGTCCCAGGTTCAATTCCGGTCAAGGGCATGTACCTGGGTTGCGGGCACATCCCCGGTGGGAGATGTGCAGGAGGCAGCTGATCGATGTTTCTCTCTCATCGATGTTTCTAACTCTCTATCTCTCTCTCTTCCTTTCTGTAAAAAATCAATAAAATATATTTTTTAATAATAAAAAAAAAAAAAAAAAAAAAAACACAACAACCCAAAACCTATGGGACACAGCAAAAGCAGTCCTAAAAGGGAAATTCATAGCAAATAGGCTAACCTCAAGAAACAAGAAAAATCTCAAATAAACAATCTAACCTTACACCTAAATGGACAAGAAAAAGAACAAACAAAGCCCAAAGTATGAGTAGAAGGAAATAATAAAGATCAGAGCAGAAATAACAAGACTAGAAAAGATCAGTAAAACCAAGTGCTGCTCTTTCGAAAAAATAGACAAAACACATTATCAAAAAAAAGACAGAGGACCCAAATAAATAAAATTATAAATAAAAGAGAAATTACAACTGACATGACAGAAATACAAAGGATTATAAGAAAATGCTACAATTATATGCCAACAAATTGGACAATTTGGAAGAAATGGACAAATTCCTAGAAGCATACAATCTTCCAAGACTGAATCAAGAATAAACAGAACAGCCGAAACCGGTTTGGCTCAGTGGATAGAGCATCGGTCTGCGGACTGAGGGGTCCCAGGTTCGATTCCGGTCAAGGGCATGTACCTTGGTTGTGGGCATATCCCCAGTGGGGAGTGTGCAGGGGGCAGCCGATCCATGTTTCTAACTCTCTATCTCTCTCCCTTCCTCTCTGTAAAAAAAAAATCAATAAAATATATTAAAAAAAAAAAAAGAATAAACAGAACATGTGAAGATGGGTAACTACAACAAAATCAAATCAGTAATTAAAAAAACGCCCAAATGTGGGGAAGCATGGGACTTGGTTGCAAAGTTTAAGGAGAATTCTCCAAAAGGATGGAGGCCTCTAGGGGGACCTTGCCAAAGTGGCAGCCCCTGCCTTGACTTTTCCAAACAAGTTTGAGCCTCCAGGTGTTTACTGGAATCTTTATGTCTATTCTTTAGACATCGTTGCTTAAAGGACACAACAGATGCATGTGTCTTCTCAAGTATGCTTACCCTTCTGATAGTATCTAATAGTTCATTTTAGTTCAAGCTGTTGTTACAATAAAAGCCTTAGGAGGCAGGCGAATGCGGCTGCTTGGTTTCTCAAGCCAAGCAGTCCCTTAGCCCTCTCTTTCACAGAAACATGTGTCAGAGTAATCATTCACCCATCACTCAGGATCTGCTGATCAGCCCTGGCACCCAACAAACAAAAGTCCTGCACCAGATGGCTCCGCAGGTGAATTAATAGCTATCCTTTCCAAATTATTTCAAAAACTTTTAAGAGGATGGAAGGATCCCAAGATCATTTTATGAGGCAGCATAACCCTGATAACAAAACCAGATAAAAAACACTACAAAAAGAAAAATTGGAGAACCAAGATGGCGGCATAGGTTAACGCCGGAGTTTGCTGCTTTGAACAACTACTTCAAAAGTGAAACCAAAAAACGGAAGGGACATCACCCAGAACCACAGGAACGCTGGCTGAGTGTAAGTCCTACAACTAGGAGGAAAGAGAAACGCATACGGACACTCAGAGGAGGCGCAGTGCTGAAGTCAAATTCTGAGGTGCGGAGTGCGCGGAGCGGGCTGGCGGCGGAGGGCGCGGTTGGCGTTTTCAATCAGGAGGGAGTCGCAGACTCTGAGCTCCAGATACGGGCGAGTCTCTAGGGTCCCTGACTCAAACGGGAGAAGCGGGACTGTCTGGCTTCGGTCAGAGCAAGTGCAGCTTTCTCTCCGAGCTTTGCAGCAGGTGCTGGGACTCAGAGAGGCAGAGCCCCTGGGGACAGGACTGAGAGCCGCCATAACTGCTCTCTCCGGCCCACCCTGTTGATCCTGTGGGACCCGCCCCGCCCAAGCCCTGCACACAGGCATTTGCCGGATAGCCTCAGGCAAACGCCAGATTAGCACCTCCCTAGAGGACAGAAGTTCTCTCACTGCTGACACAGCTGATTCTCATAGCCACTTGGCCTGGAGGTCAAACCCTCCCTGGTATTAGCTACAACAAGGTTTAACTATAAGACTGCGAACAAAGACCACGAGGGGGTGCACCAAGGAAGCATAACAAAATGCGGAGACAAAGAAACAGGACAAAATTGTCAATGGAAGATATAGAGTTCAGAACCACACTTTTAAGGTCTCTCAAGAACTGTTTAGAAGCCGCCGATAAACTTAATGAGATCTACAAGAAAACTAATGAGACCCTCGATCTTATATTGGGGAACCAACTAGAAATTAAGCATACACGGACTGAAATAACGAATATTATACAGACTCCCGACAGCAGACCAGAGGAGCGCAAGAATCAAGTCAATGATTTGAAATGCGAGGAAGCAAAAAACACCCAACCGGAAAAGCAAAATGAAAAAAGAATCCAAAAATGCGAGGATAGTGTAAGGAGCCTCTGGGACAGCTTCAAGCGTACCAACATCAGAATTATAGGGGTGCCAGAAGATGAGAGAGAGCAAGATATTGAAAACCTATTTGAAGAAATAATGACAGAAAACTTCCCCCACCTGGTGAAAGAAATGGACTTACAGGTCCAAGAAGCGCGGAGAACCCCAAACAAAAGGAATCCAAAGAGGACCACACCAAGACACATCATAATTAAAATGCCAAGAGCAAAAGATAAAGAGAGAATCTTAAAAACAGCAAGAGAAAGAAACTCAGTTACCTACAAGGGAATACCCATACGACTGTCAGCTGATTTCTCAACAGAAACTTTGCAGGCCAGAAGGGAGTGGCAAGAAATATTCAAAGTGATGAATACCAAGAACCTACAACCAAGATTACTTTATCCAGCAAAGCTATCATTCAGAATTGAAGGTCAGATAAAGAGCTTCACAGATAAGGAAAAGCTAAAGGAGTTCATCACCACCAAACCAGGATTATATGAAATGCTGAAAGGTATCCTTTAAGAAGAGGAAGAGGAAGAAAAAGGTAAAGATACAAATTATGAACAACAAATATGCATCTATCAACAAGTGAATATAAGAATCAAGTGAATAAATAATCTGATGAACAGAATGAACTGTTGATTATAATAGAATCAGGGACATAGAAAGGGAATGGACTGACTATCCCTGGGGGGGAAAGGGGTGTGGGAGATGCGGGAAGAGACTGGACAAAAATCGTGCACCTATGGATGAGGACAGTGGGTGGGGAGTGAGGGCGGAGGGTGGGGCGGGAACTGGGAGGAGGGGAGTTATGGGGGGGAAAAAAGAGGAACAAATGTAATAATCTGAACAATAAAGATTTAATTTAAAAAAAAAAAAAAAAAAAGAAGAGACAAAATTATGTGAAGTCAGAGGCAGAAATTGGAGTCAAGTAGCCAAAAAAAGCCAAGTCATGACTGCAGCTGCCAGAAGCTGGAAGAGACAAGGAAGGATCCTCCCCGAATGTGTTCCAAGGACACACGGCCCCGCTGACATCTTGATTTAGGACTTCTGTCCTCCAGAACTATGAAAGAATACATTCCTGCTTGTGTAAGCTACCCAGTTTGTGGCAGTCTGTGACAGCAGCCATAGGAAACTAATACATAAGAGTTAGGAAATATTAGGGGCTACCCATATCATTATCACTGTTATGGTCAGCATAGAAACACACCCAAATCTTACCAAACCCAAATAAAGCCCTGCTCTCCAAAAAAAAAAAAAAAAAAAAGAATTAAATTTAAGACCAAAAATCACAAAACTCCTATAAGAAAACATAGGCAGTAAACCCTCTGACATCGCTTCTTAGTCATATTCATATATATATATATATTCGTATATGTCCTCGGGGAAGGGTAATAAAATAAATAAATAAATAAATAAATAAATGGGACTTCATCTAATTAAAAAGTTTTTCCAGAGGGAAGAAATCATGAACAAAACAAAATGACAACCTACTACATTGGTGACGATATCGTCAATGATATGCCAGATAAGGAGTTAATACCCAAAATATATAAGAAACTCATACAACCTAATACCAAAGAAATTAAGAAATGGGCAGAGGATTTGAATAGATATTTTTCCAAAGAGGACATAAAGATGGGCAACAAACGTATGAAAAGATGCTCAATGTAACTAATCAACAGAGAAATGCAAATTAAAATCACAATGAGATATCACTTCACACGTGTTAGAATGGCTATCATCAATAAATCAACAAACAAGTTTTGATGAGGATACAGAGAAAAGAAAACCCTTGTGCACCGTTCTTGAGATTGCAAACTGGTACAGCCACCATGGAAAACACCATGGAGATTCCTCAAAAAATTAAAAACAGAACTACCATATGACTCTGCAAGTCCGCTTCTGGGTATTCATCCAAAGAAATCCAAAACATTAATTGGAAAAGACACATGCATCCCATGTTCATTGCAGCATTATTTATAAGAGCCAAGATATGGAGGCAAAGTAAGTCACCATCAACAGACAATAGAAGAGGTAGTCCATATATGCAATGGAATATTATTCAGGTGAAGGGATTAAAATGTACAAATTGCCAATTATAAAAACAGTCATTGAGATTAAAGTACATCATAGGAATACATACTAATAAAAGGATAATATGCTAATTAGACCGGACATCTTCGGAACATCTTTCCAGACAAAGCCATGGTGGCGGGGACCAAGGCAGAGGCAATTAGGGACTATCAGGTTGGCAGGGGAGAGCAGTTAGGAGCGATCAGGCTGGCTGGGGAGAGCAGTTAGGGGCAATCAGGCCGGCAGGGGAGGGCAGTTAGGGGCGATCAGGATGGCAGGGGAGGACAGTTAGGGGCAATCAGGCTGGCAGGGGAGCAGTTAGGGGGCAATCAGGCCAGCACAGCAGGGGAGCAGTTAGGGGGCAATCAGGCCGGTAGGCAGAGGCAGTTAGGAGCAATCAGGCCAGCAGGGGAGCAGTTAGGGGCATCAGGCCGGCAGACAGAGGCAGTTAGAGGCAATCAGGTAGGCAGGCAGGCAAGCAGTTAGGAGCCAGCGGTCCTGACTTGAGAGAGGGATGTCCAACTGCCGGTTTAGGCCTGATCCCAAGGGGTCCTGGATTGGAGAGGTTGCAGGCAGGGCTGAGGGGATTCCCTCCGCCCGCCACCCCCCCCCCCGTAGAAATTTTGTGCACTGGGCCTCTAGTATAGTCAATAATACTGTAATAACTGTGTAAGGTATTGGGTGGGTACTAGACTTGGGTGATCACTTAGTAAGTTACATAAATGTCTAATCACTATGTTGTATAAGTTAAACTAATGTAATGTTGTATGCCCCTGGTCAGCAAACTGCGGTTCACCAGCCACATGCAGCTCTTTGGCCCCTTGAGTGTGGCTCTTCCTAAGCCTTAGGAGTACCCTAATTGAGTTAATAACAATGTACCTACCTATATAGTTTAAATTTAAAAAATTTGGCTCTCAAAAGAAATTTCAATCGTTGTAATGTTGATATTTGGCTCTGTTGACTAATGAGTTTGTTGACCACAATTGTATGCTAAGTATAACTGAAAAAAATTTTTAAATTTTTAAATAAAGATTACCATGTGACATCTATACCAAAAAAAAAGTTACAGGATGAAGGGGGAAAAAACTTGTGTATTTTTTTTCATTCTAGTCATCTATTTTAATGCATACCAAAATTCAGATATTGTCAAGTAATATCTTTATAAAATGACTAGAGGCCCAGTGCACAAAAATTTAATTTGTGCACTCAGGGTGGGGGGGGGTCCCTCAGCCCGGCCTGTGCCCATTCACAGTCCAGGACCCCTTGGGGGATGTCCACCTGTCGACTTAGGCCCATTCCCCAGGGGATCAGGCCTAAAAGCTTGCAGTCAGACATCCTTCTGGCAGCCAGGGAGCCCTCGGGGAATGTCTGACTAAAGGCTTAGGCCCCCAAGGGATTGGGTCTAAAACGTTAGTTGGACATTCTTAGTGCTCCCACGGAGGTGGGAGAGGTTAAAAAATATAAAAATATAAGCTGCCATGAGCCAGCTTCTGGCTGAGTGGCACTCCCCATATGGAAGTGCACTGACCACCAGGGGGCAGCTCATGCATTGAGCATCTGCCCCCTGGTGGCCAGTGCACATCATAGGAACCGGTCATTCTGCCGTTCAGTCAATGTGCATATTAGCCTTTTATTATTATTATATAGGATGTCCCTATTTCCCCCCTTTTGCCCCCTCTACCCCGCTCTTGCCCCCACCTTCTCTCTGGCCATCACCATACTGTTGTCTGTGTCCATGGGTTGTGCATACATTTTCTTTGGCTAATCCCTTCTTTAAATTCACTTCTTTAAATTTTTATTTTCAGATAAGTGCCTATAACTGCACTATTATATATTTTCTATTGTATCATTTAGAATTAAGATATTTTTTAATTGAACCCTTGTAAATTTTAGCACAATTTAATAAATTATGCTAGAAGCAATTAGGAGATTTTTCATGTAATGCAGATACATTTCAATTAATATTTTATTAATTTTTAATTTTTAATATTTTAATTTGAAATAATCTCATACATATAAAAAAAACCTATAAAATACTACAGCATATTATATGTACCTTTCACCCAATTTCTTAGGTATTAATAATTTTTTTTAATTATTATTAGTTAAGGTATTACAAATGTGTCCTCATCCCGCCCCCCGCCCCGCACACTCATGCTCCCATCACCCTGTTGTCCATGTCCATTGGTTTGGCTTATATACATGTATACAAGTCCTTCGGTTGATCTCTTCCCCTTACCCCCGCCCTCCCCTACTTTCCTTCTGGGGATTGATAGCATGATCGCTGTTTCTCAGTCTTTGGATCTGTCCCTTTTCATCAGTCTATGTTGTTCTCTATAATCCACAAATGAGTGAGATCATGTGGTATCTATCCTTCTCTGACTGGCTTAAGGTGTTAATAATTTAAACATAACCATTATACAACTAACAAAATTTGGAATATATTTTTCTTAGAATCTCTTTAATGTTACTTAATCCATTTACTTTGTTCTTGTTAATCTTCACCCAAGGATATTTTTCCATTGAATTTTAGAGAGAGTGAAGGGAAAGGGAGAGACACACTGATTTGGTTGCCTCCTCCACATGCTTTGATAGGGACTGGGGATCAAGCCAGCAACTGAGGTACATGCCCTCGACTGGAATCGAACCTGGGACCCTCAGTCCACGGGCTAATGCTCTATCCACTGAGAAAAACAGGCTGCAGCTTAATTCATTTACTTTTAATCTATATGTTTCTTTATGTTTAAAGTGGGTTTTGTTTTTGATTCACCCTCATAATCTGTCTTTTAATTGGTGCATTTATGCCACTGACTTTCAGAGTGCTTACTAATAGAGTTACTACCATATCAGGGGCTTCTGGGGCGGCAAAGTGTGGCCGGCTCCTGGGGCTTCTGGGGCGAGGGCGGGCCTGCCCTGGATTGCGGAGCACTGGCAGCTCGCGCTGTCCCACCCTGCCTGCAGTATGCAAATTAGACGCCATCTTTGTTGGTGGTTAATTTGCATATCATGCTGATTAGCCAATGGGCGGTGTAGCGAAGGTATGGTCAATTATCATGTTTGTCTATTATTAGATAGGATATTACAAAAGCCATAAAAAGCTTATAAAAGGTTATGGCTTAAAATCTCACATTATTATCATGCTGCTATATACTTATTATTGCTGTCTAGGGTGAGACAATCACAGTGGACCAATCTCAGAGAGGTAAGTGGCACCTATCTCCCTCTACTTGGTTATGAGCATCGCTCTACGGAGACAACCCAGTCATCATATACCAAATAGTGCAGCAACTATTAACCACCAGGGTGTCAAGTGGCTCAGAAGAAAGTCCATGAGCTCAGCTGTGGGGTTCCTAGCTTAGCTCAAAGGCAGCTTGCAAATAGTAACTAGACTGAGACCTCCAAACTCACTGTACAAGAGCCTTCTGATGGAAACAAATTTCCTTCTTTATCCTCACATTCTGGTTCTGAATCAGCAATCTAGAGGTGACAGGTAACAGAAATTTCGTCAATGTCCCAAACCATCTAATCCTTTATGCTATGAATTCTATAAATCTTATGCTTATGATTTAAATCTTAGTGTTTTTAACATTATTTTAGAGAAGAAATCTTGATAATTATATCATTTGGCCCTTAAACTCAACCTTTCTTGGATCTTATTAATAGTTAATGTTAACCTTGCTATGAGGGTCAGGGTCCTAACAGGGATTTTAAACCACACTTCAAGACCGATGGAGAAGTGCTGTCCAAAAAGGGGGAGAATGCCTGCACTCATTCCCCTATGCTGTGTGAGCATCTCAAACAGCAGGGGTCACATGCTGCTCCGTGCACCCCTTGCCCAGAGTGGGTGCCAGGAATGCTGAATGATGGCACAGAGGTGGCAGCTTCAGGGACAAATCCCATGAAGAGGAAAGGCTCGGAAAAGGGGACCTCACAAAAACAGCTTCTTTCTGGGCCACCACGGCTTCATGCTTCCAGAAAAACTTAGGACAGACCATTTTCACTAGGAAACTGAAGTATAAGATAGTGAAGTCCTGCATGTAAAGCATTTAAGATTTGCTTATGGTGACTAAGATTTTCTCAATTTCTGTACTTTAGTTTCTGTCCTTTATCCACCCTTTAACTTTCCCAATATCATCATCCCCAAACAATGCCAATTACGTAGAACCTGGACTCTGAGTAAGCGGTCTAAAGGGCCCTCTCGGACCACTCCTGCGAGGACCCGGACCCCTCCCTGTGGTGTGCTCCTTGGGCAGGGATGCCCTTGTCAGAAAGGCAGGCCTCAGGCTCCGTGCTCTCCTGGGCTCCCAGGAGGGGGAGGCACCAGCTAAGTGGCTACCAGTCAGCAAGTTCTTGGGGCTGGCAAATTCTATTTGTAAAAATAACTTAACCTGGTTCTCTAATAAATCTATTACATAAATGCTTCCACTTTTCTATCTTGTCTTATATACAAATATTCTACCTGGGATGCAAAAAAATTATTATATACTTGATTATTTTCTTCACTACTGAAATTTTTTTTAAAAGTCACTATATTATATAATATAATGTTACATTCTAGCATCTAGCCCACTGTTGGCTAATAGGAGCCACTCAAAAATATCTGCTGAAAGACAACTGATTCCCTCCATAATAACTCGTACTTGAAATGCACTTTATATATAACTTGAAGCTTCACAGACATTTGAAGCTTCCAAGAATTCCATTTTTAAAAGATGTGACATAAGCTATTGCTGAAATTAGTGTTACATCTGTGAGGTCTTTTTTGTGTGTTTTTTAATCCTCCCCCAAGGATATGTTTAGTGGAAGGGAGAGAGAGGGAGAGGGAAAAAGGGAGGGAGGAGGGGTAGAAAAGGGGGAAAGAGAAAAACATGGATGCACCAGCGATAGAACCTGCAACCTAGGTATGTGCCCTGACCTGGGAACAAACCTGCAACCTTTTGGTGTACAGGACGATGCTCCAGCCAGCTGAGCCACAAACCAGGGCTAATCTGTAAGGTCTTAACTTCACTACAGGGAATTATCTCTCATTCTTTAGAAGTATATGACACAGCTCACAGACATGCAGAGAGAAAGGTAAGCAAGGCATGATTCCCAGACTTACCTTGCTATGTGGGTCAGCAAACATTCGTGTGAAGATCTCACACAATCTTTTCAATTCTACTCGACTAAAAAAAAATAAAACGGAAATAAATTCCCTTTATTAAGTCAACACTAAAATTAGTTATAGCTTTGGTTTAAAAATCCTTTTATTTCAGTCAACTACATACGTTTTATATTTTTATTAAAGTTTTTTTCACACAAAAAACTTTATATTATTTAACTCATGATGAAATCAAACGGGAATATGAAACTATAATAGTTTTGTTTTTATTTTAAAATTAGGAAACTAAATCTCAGAGAGTGCCTAAGTTTGCAGGTATGGAAGTGGCAAAGCCACGAGATAAATCCTGTTCATTTCATCCAGGTCTGTTTTCCACCTGCCACAGATGGAGGGCAACGGGATAAACTAGGAAAGCATGTACTCTGGGGTCATACGGACCTGAATCTTAATCTCAGTTCTGCCAGAGAAAGTATGAGTCACACAGGGTAAGAGCTCCCTGGCTGCTGCGAGGATGAGAAGAGATGACACCTCCTTCCAACAACTGTGCCTAAGACACAGCAACCGCGTTTCGTTTTAGGGCCCCTCTGCCTTTCTTATCCTTAACTGTACTACCAAGTCCCAATTTTACTTCAAGGCTGATTAGAAGGGACATATTTTTCCCAAATCATGCCTGAGTAATCCCCCCTTATACACACAACACAGTCTAGATTAGACCAAAGCTAATCAAAGATTTCTAGAGGCTATTCAGTGGATACTTGGTGAACACCGAGATGTAAGAAACTGAGACCAGCAGAACTAACTAGATTCTTGAGGCAACAATCACAACAAATAATCCTCATTTTGTTCTTTGACAGATCACTAGCGGTCAGAAGGCACATGACAGAAGTTCTCAGGACGTCTTCATGAACGGAATAGAATTTGGGGGGGGGGGGGCGCGAGGGGGCGGGTAGCAGAGTAGAGTCAGGCTGACTTGGGAGCCACACCGCATAGGGATTCCTGGGGCAGTGCTCACTTAACTTTGCAGAACCCATCTAGGACCACAAAAGTATCCGGTGTCATAATTCATCTTTAAAAAATTATCTAAAGAACATAATACACTGTCATGGATTATAAGTTGCCCACTTTTTCACATTTTTAACATCTCTGTAATTGTGAGATTCATCTTATAATCAATGACATATTAACGTCAGGTTTAATAAGCAGCATTTCTTCTTAAAAGGGATATAAAATAACTAGAAATTTGTGCACTGGGGGGGGGGGGGGGTGTCTCCTCAGCCCGGCCTGTGCCCTCTCGCAGTCTAGGACCCCTCGGGGGATGTCCACCTGCTGGCTTAGGCCCACTCCCCAGGCAATTGGGCCTAAGCTGGCAGTCAGACATCACTCTGGCAGCCTGCGAGCCCTCAGGGGATGTCCACTTGCCAACGGGGGGCAAGCCTAAGCTGCAGTCGGACATCCTTAGCACTGCTAAAGAGGCGGGAAAGGTTCCTGCCAACACCACTATGCTGGCAGCTGGCAGCCTGGCTTGTGGCTGATGGGAGCGCACTGACCACCAGGGGGCAGCTCCTGCATTGAGCATCTGCCCCCTGGTGGTCAGTGTGTGTCATAGTGACCAGTCATTCCCAGTCGTTCTGCTGTTAGGGTCAATTTGCATATTACCCTTTTATTATATAGGATAGAGGCCTGGTGCAATGGTGGGGGCCGGCTGGTTTGCCGTGAAGGGTGTCCCGGATGAGGGTGGGGGTCCCGCTGGGGTGCCTGGCCAGCCTGGGTGAGGGGCTGAGGGCTGTTTTCAGGCTGGCCACACCCCCTTCAGGGTGGGGATCCCCACTGGGGTGCCTGGCCAGCCTAGGTGAGGAGCTGATGGCTGTTTGCAGGCTGGCCATGCCCCCCAGTGGGGACCCTCACCCCATGGGGGTGTGGCCAGCCTGGGTGAGGGGCTGAGGGCTGTTTTCAGGCTGGCCACATCCCCTTCAGGGTGAGGGGGGGTTCCGCTGGGGTGCCTGGTCAGCCTGGGTGAGGGGCTAATGGCTGTTTTCAGGCTGGCCATGCCCCCCGACGACCCAAACTCCCAGCCTCTCCTTTTTTTCTTTTTTTCATGATGGCCTGGAAGCAGGTATCTGGGATTTATTTATCTTCTATAATTAAAACTTAGTAGCCTTGAGTGGAGCCCAGGTCGGCCAGGGCAGGCAGGAAGCTTGGCTTCCTCCATTGCTAGGGGCAACCCAAGCCCCCTGCTCACTCCAGCTCCATGGCTACTGCCATCTTTGTGATGGAGTGATGGTTAATTTGCATATTGCTCTTTTATTAGATAGGATGGTTTGTCTATGTTGCCTTAGATTTGGTGAAATATGGTATAAAAACATACTTTTTTGGTATGTGTGTAATACCTGCTCATGTTAGAAAATTTATGAAATACAGGAACATAAAGAAAAAAGCAAAAACATTAAATACTGTTACTATTAGTAGTCCAATTTAGTAAATCAAGTCAGGATCACTTTAGTATTTATAAGCTACAGATATGCATGTGTATTAAAATTTTTTAGACTGAGACTGCTATCATCTTACCCACAACCCTAAAGTGTAATGAACCACACCAACCTGCAGAGTTTTCTTTTCTTTTCTTTTTCCAAAGCAGCTGTGCCATTTTCTTTCCCTATCAACTATGAGTGATAGTTCCCAGTTTTGTTTTTCACCTAAATTGCAACCTGCACCACGATTTCTCAAATAATAGCTACCAGCCAAATGTGAGCCACCAGGGAACCAGATGTTTTTATAAATCTAATAAACTACAGAGAACTTGCCAGATATTTCAAAATCTCTGGAAGGCAAAGACTGGGTCTTAGTCACCTCAGCACCTTTGGTGCTGGAACTCCATCAGGGCTCCACAAACGTGAGAACCCCCCCACACCCCTGATGCGGACAGTATGGACTCGAAGCAGCTCACCGAGCCACTGCCCTCACCTCAGTGTTCTCTGGCTCTTCAGTAAGTTCTGCAGGCCCAGAAGCCCTTCTTTCCTCTCTGACCAGTTTGAGCTGGCGCAGTGGTTGAGAACTTCTGCCACATCCTCGGTCTGCCGCAGGTAATGGGGGATGCCGCCATTCCTGGAACCATACGAGCGCTCAGAGCAAACACTCGAGGCATCACTGTTGGCATCATCGTCAGAATACATCCCATAGGGCTCATATCTCCTCCTCACAGGCTTCTTCTGCCAGGTCCGAAGAGGGATGGGGTGATGGAGAAAGAAGTGGAAAGATGAAATGACCGTGAGTCGTCCCAAACAAATCCACCACCAACAAAGAGTTGCATGTCAAAGGATGCACACGCAGATGCGGGGCACCACGCCTGCCTGTGTTTACAGATTAGGGAGTGAAAACAGGAAGGCAGATTTCTGGAAGACATAGCGTGTAATAAGCAGAGCACCTGTAGCAGAGAAAAAGAGCATGGTCTCTAGCACACTGTATGGGCTTCTTGGGTTATAATCCTGCTGCCACCACTGGCTGGCTGTGTGACTGCAGAAAGCCTCCGGCCCTTTCTGCTTTAGTTTCCCCATCTTTGAGGTAATAATTACCCCCTTTACAGGCTTCTTCTAAGGATTAAATGTTGCCTGGCTGGTGTGGCTCAGGGATTGAGCATCAACCCATGAACCAGGAGGTTCGAGTCCCTGTCAGGGCACATACCCAGGTTGCAGGCTAGATCCCCAGTGCAGGAGGCAGCCAATCAATGATTCTCACTCATCATTTATATTTCTATCTCTCTTTCTCCCTCTCCCTTCCTCTCTGTGAAATAAAAACATTAAAAAATAACAAATAAATAAATGGAATTGTATGTTAAGTAACCTGGCTTAGCCACCGGACACAAGGCAAGCTGTGTACCCACAGCCTCCTCCCAACCAAAAGTAATATATCTTGAGCATGGTCTATGAGTAAATTTGTTTGAATACTCATACTTCCTTAAAGTCTCAAACAGAAATGACAGTGGCAGAGTAATCTATGTACAAGGATTCCTAAATTATCTGAGCCACTTTTATTAAGGATAAAGTTTTACAGCACAAACGGGCTCCCTGTAGATTAGCATTTCTCTTACCCTGAACACAAGTTAAACCCATAAATAATACAGCAACAGCTAAATAAAATTGATAAAATTTGTAAAATACAATTTAAGAGAAAAGCACAGTTATTTGCTTAAACTGTATAGATGTAATTTCCTAATAAGGTGGTTTTTAGTACATCCCAAATTGCTCAGGACAGTGCTGCTCTATGCCTCATTAGTAAGCCCCTTTCACTCTCAAAAGTATGGCCACCTTACTTATCCAGACACTAGATCCCTCAAATAAGAAAAATACTGAATATATCTAATCATCAAATAACAACATAAGAGTAGTTATAACTGGGGTTTAAAAATAAAATTAAACGCTATTGGGAGAAGGCACAGCCTTACATTAAAAATAAATACTAGAACAAATAGAGTTGCCTGACTCTACCACTAATAAAAGTGTCACCAGATTCAACAATATCATAATTCAGACCAGAATTTCTATATTGCACTATCGTTTTTGTTGCTTTCACTAGCTCCTAAAGGAAATATACTTGCAACAGAAAAAACGGAGTTGTAAAACAAATGTTAAAGCACTGGTACCTTGCTCCTGGAGTCTCCTAACAGCTGTAGGCAGGAAAATATTGAAGGATGGGGAAAAAGCATAGAGAATTATGTCAGAAGCATATGTGGGGATCATTCTTGCAACAAAAGTGTACAGCAAAACATATCTTAGCAAACCAAAAATACAGAGTAGCGAGCGATTCATATCACGTGAGATCAAGTGAGTAATAATAAAAAATGCTTTCACAATGGCATTTCCTAACACTTCTAGCCTTCTTACAAGACCTTCCTGTGCTTGCTGTAATTCTCTGCTAAAGCTCTCCCACACCGAGGGACATCTCCTAAGTCCCCATTAATTCTGTGGCCTGTCCCTGTGGTACACTCTGTCTGCCCGGCTTCCATCCTGTGAGGCCAGAATCGTGGACCATTCTGCGCTTTCTCTTCCGAAGCAGGACCACCGGAGAAACCAAGCAGTTCAAACAAAACTGATGAGGGCAACGTGAGTGTCAACGGAGCTGGAGCTCAGAGAGAAGCCCAAGCCAAAGAGCCGAGATTCGCTCTCCAGGCCTGCTCTGCCTCCTAGAACTTTGTGCAGTCCCTCCGTAGTTCTTCAGAGAACTAAGAAGCGCCCGCCTTAACTGGAAGTCCCATGTAACTAAGGATTTGGCACATCTATCTTTTCCCAACCTCTGACCTCCACTGCCTAGGGTCTCTGAATAAAAAAGAAACAGAATCTAAACATTGCAACTTGGAAGGAAAAACAGCGTCACAGAATTCTGTTCCAGCTCCTGACTCTTAAGTTAAAGCCCCTGATAGAGCAATCTCCCTCAATTCCTGCATGTGCCAGAAAAGGCCCACCTGCAGAGCAGCTCATGCAGGAGCTGGCCAGGCAGCCCTGCAGAAAGGAAAGCATTATGAGAGAGAGCAGCAAGCTGCCTGCTCACAGCCGCTTGCCAAAAAATCTGAGCAAGAACAAACGAGAGAGAAAGAGAGAGAGAGAGAGAGTCAGAATCACTTGTAGCCACAAACCATACATTTTGATCACACAAAACATGGCTGAATTAAAACTTCAGGGTCTGAAAGGTGGATGCTTCCTTAGAGGAGAAAAATCTTCCAACAGCAGTCACAGCCAGAGGTCAGACAGTTCTAAAGAGAGCCTAGTTTAATGCTGAGCGCACCGACCAAAAGACCCCCGCGGCTGTGCCCCTACTTGCTGAAATGGATCTTTAGAAAGCACCTTGACCACTAGCAGACTCTATCAAGGACCTTTTTGCTATAACCATAAATGTAAGGGCCTCTGGGCACTTCCTATTGTTTTTAGATATTACATTATAAGGATGCAAAAACATACTCCACCCGTGCTTGAGAGCCTCAAAGGGCTCATCTTAAACTTGGGGGAAGTTTCCATATAAAATGACTTACAAACTCATTTTTAAAAACAAACAAACAAAAAAGCAAAGTGATACGGAACAACCAGTGAGGCAAAGGAATAAATGCAGATTTTCAAACCACAAACTCTACGACTTAGTATAATAATTTTTTTTTTTAGGTTATGCCATCAAAGCTTGTAAAGCAACAGAAGCAATAAAATGGGGAAAAGATGCTGAAAAAAAGAAAAAAGAAAAAAGACACCCAATGACATCAGAGAAGCCCAATGTCATCATAACTTCCTCAATACTGAGGAGCACAGAAGAAATACTTGATGCTAATAATTTCTGTAAGGCTACCTTTCACTTAAACCAGTAATATAAATTTACCCAACTTAAAGAGTGTCAAGGTAACCTGATTTGGAGGCACTTTTCTGTTAAGACAGAATAATTCGGATGAGTAAGTCAAAGAGACAGACAGGCACTGTGACTCTTACCAAAGCGTCAGCAACAGCAGCTTCAAGATCTGTACTTGTGCTTAACACGCGCATGGCATTCACAGAACCAGGTATTCTTCCTGCCTGGCCAAGCCCAAACCGGTCTATTTAAAAAACAAAAGCAAAAGATATGTCACTTTAATTCACATTTTCTCCATTTCTTTGCAAGGATCCCTCCCTCTTCCCACCTACAGAACAGAGGCTGTGGAAACTGCCCAGCCCATTTAAATACATTGGACTTGGAGTTTTAGCTACACTTGTTTCCCAGTGACAGAGGGTAGAATGTTCGCAGTTAGTACCATCGTGCCACAAAGCATCCTGACAATTGAAATGGTTCTTTAATGATATTTTATTTTTGAAAAGTGCTGAGATATAGGAGAGAGCAACTTATTACAGAAGGGAGCAGAGCTATGGGTTGAGTCTCTCAATCTGTTTAGCATTCCCTCTAGAGCAGCGGTTCTCAACCTGTGGGTCGCGACCCCTTTGGGGGTCGAACGACCCTTTCACAGGGGTCGCCTAAGACCATCGGAAAACACATATAATATAATTACATATTGTTTTTGTGATTAATCACTATGCTTTAATTACGTTCAATCTGTAACAATGAAAATACATTCTGCATATCAGATACTTACATTACGATTCATAACTAGCAAAATTACAGTTATGAAGTAGCAACGAAAATAATTTTATGGTTGGGAGTCATCACAACATGAGGAACTGTATTAAAGGGTCGTGGCATTAGGAAGGTTGAGAACCACTGCTCTAGAGCAAGCATGTCAAACTCGCGGCCTATGAGCCACATGTGGCCCACAGCGAATATTTTTGTGGCCCAGCCAATATAAACATATGTAAGAAACGTTTTAACAAAAATTTTGTAACTTAATTTTTACAATATCCTGTTATACATAATTATTAATAACAAAGTACAATGTTCACTAATGACTGATTACTTTAATCGTGTTGCTTTCATTTCCCTTACGTGCCTTATGCACAGGCACACCATTTATCTCCACTAATACCAGCAGCGAATATTTCAGCAGCCGATTGCCACGTCATTAGTTTTGGACTGATTTATTTGGTGTGCACAACAGGAAATATTTCACTTTCGGAGAACAAAAAAAAAATTGGTTTGTGTTACGCTTATTAATTTGTGCAGTTATTCAGTGTCTGGTAAGTTACTGTTCAAGAAAAAGTATTAATTTTATTAAAATGTTCTATTATTTTATGTTAACGATTACTCATTTATTTCAGCTCTTTGTATTCAGCATGTCTCTATCGAAATAAACGTACGTTTCTATGAAAATTGAAGTTTTTATTTTTTTGAGGCCCACATAAACTTAAACCTTGTTTATTTGGCCCGTGTTAGCCTTTGAGTTTGTTCCTCAATACAGTTCCTCATATTGTGGTGACCCCCAATTTCATTGTTACAAATTGAACATAATTAAAGCATAGTGATTAATCACAAAAACAATATATAATTACATATGTGTTTTCTGATGATCTTAGGCGACCCCTGTGAAAGGGTCGTTCGACCCCCAAAGGGGTCGCGACCCACAGGCTGAGAACCGCTGCTCTAGAGTCAAGTGGCCCTGAGGTTTAGTCAAACTAATTAGGACGCTTCAAGGTTACTGTGGCTGCAGGTCAATAAGTCCTAATGCAATGTGCAATAGTCAAAATTTAAAACAAATGTATTCAGTTGATCACTGTGCAAATTTTCATCAGTGTCAATGCTATTTAACTATTATTAATTAAACTCAATTAATTTTAGGCATATGTTCATCATAATTCCTGTATCACCAAAGGTTATTTAAATAAATTTATTAAAATTCTTTAATAATCACCACAAAAGCTAGCATTGCAACTGCAAAATATTAATAATTAAGATAATATTGTATACATTTTCCCTGAGTCCCTCAAAGGATTTTTAAATGATAGTCTTTATACATGTGGACAAAATGGATAGAATCCACAAGATTTAAAACAAATTTTACAGTTCAAACAACTATTCTAAGCTTGCTAATGATCATGGACAATGAAAACTAGCTTTTTAAAGTCCTTTACATTACATTTGACCAGCCTTCCTTAAGAAGTACTGAGATTTAAACTATAATAGAAGGTCCATGTAAATTATACTTCACAGGTATATCACACTAGTTTCTTATTTAAAATGCTAAGATATATTTTAAAAAAAAGCTTTGGAAGAAATGTTAAGATAAAAAATGCTTTCTTTTTATTAACATATACTGGACAAGGAAAATCTCTGTTACTAGCCATATAAAGCATTTACAATAAAAGGAAAACTAGTATTTGTTTTAAATAAATTGATCTTTCCTATGAAGTGATATGTAAAATCTTACAAATAAGATTTTAGATCTATAACAAACATCACCTACAAAGCCGGTGAACTTTAAAAGTGAAGTGTTATTTAACGCTTTTAAATGCCAGTTTCAAAACATTACATCTTCCATCGCCACAGAAAGAAAAAAAATGTAAACAGTGCTAATCAAAAAAGTTATACAGTCATGAATTTTTATAAGGAAACAAAAATTGTATGTTATACTATCCCCTTTTTTAATGCACTTGCTGATCATACTGAATGTCACCTTAGTCATTTAAGGCAATTTAATGTGCCATATAAACTATAGAGAAACCACAAAACAATTATATCTACATAATTATATAGATATAAATTACCAGTTGAAATATGAAACAAGTATAAATTTGAGATTTATTTTGCAGTTTCATAAATGATCTTCATTCTTCCCCCATTAAAAAAGGGTAGATAGTAAGGGATTTATGAATAACAGAATGAAAGTAATTCAGTTAAAAGCCATTTAAAAATTACCAGCATGAACTTAAAAACGAAGTCTACATAAAATAAAATAAGGAATTAGATCTCATGCCAGCAGTTCTTGCTCAAGGGATAATACTGATTTTTCAGACATAAAATTAAAACTAAAAGAACAATGCAATTAATTAATCTTGCTTCCCAAATGCACACAGCTTTGTCACAGTGTCTGCAGCTCATTCTATATGTATCAGAGATCATTGAATTCCAAGTCTTAAGAGGAAATGTTTGGATCTAAGCAGAACTGTAAGCCTTTTATTTCAACCAGAGAAAACTCTGTTCTGCATTCTCGCTGCTCTGATACCATTATGAAGCTCCATTTCTAAGCAATGGATACAGATGACCGTACCCAGTCTGGCCCATAACCTTCAGGGGAATGGGAGAGCATATATTTTAAAAATGCATACCTGCTTTCATGTAGAGGAGGAACAAAGAAAATATCTAACTCAGTGACTTGGTCACAGTTATCACTTGTGACTTAATAAGATTGTGTCTTACTCAATACTGTAGTCATTAGGGTTTCTAGTATCTGAAAATGATGCCAATTAAATCTGGCAAACTAATATATATATATATATATATATATATATATATATATATATATATATATATATATATATATATATATATATATTACTGTACGCTTACTTTTGCCCCAATGGCTAACCAGTGAATTTTTGGTATTGTCAAAAAGGGGCCGAGATGGAAAAAGCTTGGGGACCAAAGGCTGCAAAAGCTGCCACTGGCCTGACTATGTTATCTGAATCATGATCTTCTTTTTCCACAAAAGTGTTAGGACAATCCACTTATTTTTATGCCTACAATTTTACGTATGACCTACTTTGGTAACTAAATAGTACCTCCAAATTAGAACTTGACACTAACTAACATTAATAATCATCACTTTATTGGGAGTGAAGACTTGGGAGATGAAAGACTCTGTTGGATAATATTCATACTCCACTCCCCACAGGGACCCTTCTGATACCTAAAGTCTGGGTGCTTTCCTGGGGGAGGGAGCAAAAGAGGGTGAGAAGTGCCCCCCCGCCTTTGCTTTGCTTCGTTTTAACATAAATACGAACACTGGAGAAATAATGTTGTCAAAACAAGCTATAAAGCATCTACAGCCTATTAACAGAACCATAAACATTCAACAACTTAAAAAAATTCAAGCACATGGGGTGGGGGGTGGTGAAGTGCATACATGCCAAGTGCTAGCCAACACTGATGAAAACGAATGTAAAATGAGTGCGGAACTAGAAGGGATGGAGAAGCCGAGGCATGCAGTTAGCACTTGTTCACCTGACTGCCCGACAGAGTCAGCAGTGGAGAGAGCGCTAGTGGACCTGGAATGCCGTCGAGAGGCTGCAGGTAAAAGGAATGGTGACACCCACAGGATTAACACAGAGGTACCGAGACAGAATGCCACAGTCCAAAGGAAATGCGACTGCCGCCACGGGCCACGTTTTCTCATGAAAAGAAATGGTGCTACATATGAATGGATAGCAAGGGCAATCCCTAAATTCCACGGCTGCTGGCTCTCAGGCAGCTCTTAAATACATAGGCACTCAAAGGCCCTCTGTAAGGCATTCCTTATGCACCAACGAATTCAGACTCCAGGTGGATCTTTATTCCATGAAGCCTCTACCAGCCATTATGAAATATGCAACATGAAGAACATCAGGAGTCACCAGCACCGTCTGAATCCGGGTCGAACAGCAGGATGGATTCACTCAGCCCACAAGATGTCTCATCAGTATGTGATGCACATGTAACCATGCACCAAAAACAAAAGAGAATTTATAATGTCATCTGAACACAAACAGAATGAATCACAAGAAGAGGGCTCAACAACTGGACTTCCATCCTCCCCAGTCAAACGTTTGTTGTTCTGTTGCATGGCTATCCTAATTAATGAATTTACTTTTTAATTATTGGAAATTTAGTTTTAAGTTTAAATGGCCTTCCTGGGAGAGGCATTTGCAGTACCACGGTATGAATACTGCCTCTGTAATACAACTGGGGGCAAAATCCTGGTTTGATCTGTAAGTACTTAACATCTCTGTGTCTCCATTTCCTCATCTGTAAAATGGTGCTGGTAACAGTACCTACCTCTTGGGAGTTAAGAGAATTAAGAGCTCATACACACAGCACTAAACACAATGCCAGGCACAGAACAAACAGTGGTTAAAAGTCACGGTAGTGGTGCTGGTCGTGGCAGTAATAGTGAAGAGTGAATTCCAATGCACATCTATACATTAAATATTGTTTCATTAGCAAGTATTCATAATACGCATATTAAGTCATCAATTGGAGGAAATGCATGCTTAACTATATCCTCGTGGAGATAATGACTTTTACAATTGATTATGAAATAGAGACTTGATTCAAACATGAATTTTTTTACCAGAGTGCCATCCAATATGTGGCTTTTCTTTACCTCATTACTCTGAAAAGAACACGATGGCTGCACCCCAGAAAGCCCCTCAGTTTAACGGTGACACTGAGCAGAGCTACTTCTCACACACACTGGGGTGCAGGGTCCTGCACACATCAGCAGTCACGGTCATCAAGTATCAAAACATCTCCAGTACAATTTACTCATTAAAGACCATGTCACTTGATGAAATGCACATATTGGTGGTGTGTGTGGTATTACACAGCAAAGGCTACCTACCTGGCCAATGAGGGCACATTTTTATCATCTTACAAAAAGAAAACTTAAGAATTCCTAATTCTTCAAGAAGCACAAAAATAAATCAGCAATCTCTAAAACAGGTATTATATTAAACTGATAAGAACAGATACTACACTTGATCTTAGCCAAAAGGCCGAGAAGCGATAAAAACAGGTATTATAAAATAGTCCCTTTACTCAAATAAGGAAGATGACAAAATGTTTTTTTTAGTCTGAAGCCAAATAATCATTTCATTATACAGGTTGATCAGAATCACTTGATAGTTTAAACTAAAAGTAGCTTTTTAGGAATACATGATCTAAATGTTTCTTATAAAGTGTCCTTTGGTTCTATTTCAATAAAATATTTTATAGTAAATCTGTCGTGTAATGAATCCTTTGTCACAATCTCAGTAAATACCGGACAATGGAATCCAAGGTGAAACCATTTACATCAAAGTCTTATTTACAAATGCTAGAGCCCTTAATTCCACTTAAGTCTTGTCATTATAACTATATAAATGCATACTCATACCATTAAAATGGCCCAAACAATCTAGTTATAAAAATGCAAACTTAAAGCCAATATATAGTCACCTAATTACCTTCACCCCACACCCTTTTTGGAACGTGAAAATTGACCATGTGAGTTGATACAAAGGAGCACTCACACACAATCTCGCTTATTTATAAAGGGGGTGGGAAATGCTTGTTTAAGTGGGTAAGAAAAAGAAGAACCCTTCACATTCTTTGAAGGGCGTAGTAAGTTCCCCTGGGGACAGCAACCTCCTGGGACGAATCCCCAGGTCCTAGCCCCAAGCCTGGAAATCTTCAGAGCCTGCTGAGCTCTTCTCTTTGCCTAAGCCTGCAGGGGCCTCACAGACAGCATTTAATACATTTCAGAGAATAAATGAAACATGTGCTGCTTTCAACTGAGGCAGGGTAACAACCAAGCTTTGAAATCAGACCTGGATTCAAACCCAGACCACTGCATAGCTGTGTGACTTGAGAAAGTGGCTTATCTTGATTGAGCCTGTTTTGCCCTCCATAACAGAGGGTGATACCTATCCGAGGAACCAGGGGGATGGCTCAGCATGGTGCCAGGTACACGTGAGCGCTGTTGTTCCTGTGTAACCAAAGTTTTATAAACAAATTTAACCCATGGAGGGAAGCAACGGGCATGGTATAAAAGTTCATCTGAAAAGATGGTACTACTGCCTGACGCCACCGAAGACACATGCCGATGCCGGAGCCCATTCGGAAGGGAAACAGCTGCAGCCACGTCGTCTGCACCAGTGGGAGCAACATGCATTAAGCCCCCTGGGCTGTCACCAGACACAGAGCAGATCCCTTTGCCAAAGAAAGTGAAGACAGACTAGCTCACTCAGCTCCTCGGGGTTTGCCTGGGACCTCAAGAGAGCAGCGCAACCTGCCTGGTCCAAAGACCACAAGATGTTACACAGGCTGCGTCCATGGACAAGAACAAAAATGCCAGGATGTGTATGGAATAAAAAGACTGAATTGCCTCTCAGAGACAAAGTGGCCAATAAACAGACTGACTTGTTCACTTATGTAACCGGTTTTCTAGAACAGCGGTCGCCAACCTTCGGACCTCATGGACCACCAGTTGGCGACCGTTGTTCTAGAAGGTCAAATAGCGAGCAGGATATACAGAAATAAATTCTTAACTTAAAAGAAAAAATCACCAGTTCACTCAGAAAAAACCCCACCACTGCTGCCCTTGACTGGTTGGGAAATCTGATCTGTCCCTCAGATTGCTGGGAAAGGGCTGACCGCAGCAAGCAAACTGCATTCCTCCCAGGCACCTCACCAGGTCGCGAGGGCCATCCAGCAAGGCGTCTGCATCTGTTACCTGGTCTTCCTCAGAACTTCATAAAGGACAAGGGGTCGTAAAGGAATATATCTAGACTTTGATTATTGATACCGACTGGGGGGAAAAGATATTGGGAAGCAGTGTATGACATTAGAAGGCACTAAAACAACTACTACGACCTTATGCTTTTGACATTTTTATATTTAAAAGACCAGTTATTCCGAGTGAAAATAACAGACCCCTGCCGTCCCCAGTTCCATGTAACACTCGGGCCCTTCGTTATGAGCGATTCCTGCCGGCTTATCAAAAGGAAAACATGCAGTTGTACAGCACTTCACATGACAAAGGACTGAGACACAATTACTGAAGAATACAAACATTTCTTTTCTGTGCTGACAGACGACTTTGGGGATTAATAATTTGCACTACATAAAAAAGTAATTTATATGTCCATATTAGAGAAAGGCAGAACTATTAAAGCTAAAAAGAAAAGGTAAATAAAATATCCTATAATGGATACATTTTCCCCCTTGTTTTCCTGAAGCCTAGAAACTGTTACAATACAAATTCTGGATATGAGAAAAACTGAGGGTGGGATGGGGAACGAAGAGCCCAGCTGGGGCCTGGCTGGTGACTGGGCACAGTGCTGACACCACCTCATGACCAAATATTGTAATTTTTTGTCCTGGGATGGCATCAGGCCACAGACATTAAACCGCCTCTTGAGCCCAGGAAGCATGACACTATCTAATGAACAAGCAACATCAGGAAGTTTTGCATTGAGCTATATACCTGAGCAATTTATCAAAAAGCTACTTTCAGATTGCTTGGATGAAAGCTTTGAAATGACTCCGTTAACAAAAGCATGGCTAGTATCTTCATTCATGCTGCTTTTTAAATTACTGTCATCATCCCGAAACTGAGCACATTTACTGTCCTAAACATGATCGTGTTTTTGTATTTTTTTCCTTCTTGGAATTAAACCACGTATGGCCCAATCTCTGGCAAAATTAAACACAAATTATAGAAATTCAATGAGTAAGAATAAACTCTGCATTAGCTCTACTTTCAAGCAGCAATGAACTTGGGCTAAGCTTCATCTTATGTTAGAAATGAACACACGGATGAGCTTGCCCGGCTAAGTGGCCATAAGTAACAGCACAGACTGAAGTGATGCTTTTCCTCTAATACTGAAAAACTGGAAAGGCTCCAAACTTAAGCATGCAGAGGGGGACAACAAAGGGTGGCTAAGGAAGAGGAAAGGAAGAAGAAAGGGCCACAGGACAGCAGGAGGGAAAGCAGGTCATTCCCTGGCAGTGTCCGGGACAGCATCTGGAGCAGGGGCAGGATGCTCCGAGAGCCAGCGCCTCCGTGTACTCACCCAGTGGAGGGAAGCCCCGAGCAGGGCTTGTATCTCGGCTGCTCTCACGGCTGGTATCGCGGCTGCACCCCTGACTCATGCTGGGTCGAGGGATACGGCTGCTCCGTGCTAGTGTGCAGCATGAGGGGTTTCAGAGAAGGTGAACAAGTTTAATGAAGACAGAAAAACTCACACAATGTCAGTCACATTCCATTAATGTAATCACGACACTGTCCTGATGGCTGAGCATGTACCCCTGCTACGTCTCCTGACGGCCGTGCCAACAGCAGGAGGTTTGTACAAAAACTCCACTATGCTCAATGCCTCAGAAAGCTGTGAATTTTGGTGTTAAGGTAAAATAGCGCCTCAGTGTAAAAAATGAAAAGAAAGCTTTCAAAGAACAAACCGGCATCAGAAAATAAAAGCTCCGTCTTTTAGAAAAGACCATTGTTATGGCTTTGGCAAACTTCTTTCTCCCCTGGAGGGTAAAGGACCAAAGCCATTTCCATGTGCACCGGGTTCTCAATTTAGGGGAAAAAACAGAAAAAGGGTCCTGGGCACTGCCATCCGTGAACTTAACTAACTGAGAGCCCACCTCTCCCAGCCCGGCCTTCTTTACAAAGAGAAGCCCCTGGACTGACAGCCAGAGAGCCTGTGCACTCGAGTGAGTGTGGAGACGTTCAAACACACTTCACTATCGGAACCAACAGAGAGGAAGAGCTGGGACTGCTGTCCCTTTTTACTGCCCCGACATTAATTCCTGCTTTTTCTATGGGAATCAAAACTCGGCCTGCGGTCCTTACGCAAGCACCTTCACCTCTCCAGCCTCACACAGTCTGATAGTGATCCACTGATAACCCAGTCTCTGCACCATGAGATCCCTCCACTGACCTGAAAACGGCCAATTACTTTATGATTATCTACAGATAATGTTATTATACTCACATTATAAAACACTGAAAACACAATCACATAGACAGCATAAGGTTTCTAATATAACTTGGCTATAAAATCACAGAAAAGATCATTAGGGCCTTATTTTTCATTTTATTTTGAGAAAACAGAAATACAGTACTGGAAAAGTATTTGGAAACACCCTGACATACTGCAGGCGTATAAACACCAATGTCACAGTGGATGGGGACAACAAAGATCTCCCTCTTGAGAGGGTCTATTCTTCTCGACTGGGTAGAAGTGCCTTCTTTAGAAATTTTGGAAAAAATAAACTTGATCCACTGATATAAAAACATGGCTATTTTCAGACCAATGCATCAATGAGCATAACCTATTTATTTTAAAGCAAAGATATGTTTACTGTATGGCCAAACCACAACAAGAATACCTTACAAACCAGAACTGTGAAGCCCTCAGTAAAGACTACAAAGGTAGAGAAGCAACCAACTTCCGACTGTGGTCTTCCTCGGGGCTAGAGTTCAATTAGACCTGAACGCTGAGTGAGTGGTGTCCAACAGCTCAGGGCCGCAGTGGCGAGCACAGGACTGCAATCTAAGCAACAGTCAAAACAGAGCTGCATCTGGAAGTCTCTAGTAATTCCTAAATTCTCCTTCATCTTGCCAGTGACATGGCGCACTGAGTTTCCACTCAAAGTAGCAGTATGCAATCAGCAATGTTTGAAACATTCTGAGTAGCTCCTACAATGAGGGCAAAACCAGCAGGTGCTAAACTCTTAAAAAACAACAGCTAGGGAGTATCCGCTGACACCGCCAATATCTGACAAGTTGCAGAGAACCTACAAAGCAGCACTGCTTACGCTCAGAGGGTCGACACCGCATCCAATTCATGCAGCGACCTCACAGTGCCCTGCTCACTCACTGGCCCGGCCACCGCGCTCCCCTTAGGAAGGCTAGGGAGAAAGTGGGCATTTAAAGAGCACGACACTGTGAGGTGAGGCACACATGGTAATACTTCTGGCTCCCTGAGGAAAGGCACACGTGAACATCTCGTCTGCTGCACTGCCTACTCCAAAACTCATAGTCAAAAGTAATAAAAACAGTCCTGATAGTTTTTAACATATGTCATGCTTAGCTCAGCATTTTCTTAAGAGTTCTCGCCCAATTACTTCTGAAGTTCTACCCAGCTCTCACTCCCTCCTTTAAACTAACATACATGCTGCAGCAATGGGAAATCTGCTTTCCCTGCTTCGTGCAGACAATAAAGGGATAGATATGATCGGAAACAATATGCACAGTTCTTAGTAAGGTTTAGCCTCCTAGTACTTCACCAAGAGAAAGTTCCTTCGCGCATCCATGCTGCCTGGCTCCTTTAGCATATGGCTAGTAGTAACACAGAAGAATCCCGTTTACGATTTTGTCAAAATCTTCCCATATGGTTGCTCCAAACCTCATTAAAGCACCTTTAGTGGTGACATCAACAGTTTAAATGTTGGATAATTTAAAACACTTATAATACCTCCTCCAGAGACCAATCTATAAGAAGGATTTAAAATAAGTACATAAATAAATCATTTTTACGAGGACTAACTAATTAGGTGGTAAAAACCAAAAACAATACACCAAATCAACTTGCCTCTGTATCGAGTGCCCAAAGGGGACATTCCATGGGAGCACAGGGAGGAGAAGGCCCGCAGAGGAAGAAGTGATCAACATACTTGCTATCTGAACGCTCTGAAGCGGCGTTCTTAGGCAGCTCCGGCGTCCTGTGCTCACACGAATTGCTGGGAAGCCTTGAGAAACTATTTGATTGGTTTTCATTTCCTGAGCGACGCTTTATTCCACCTTTATAGTGTTTTAAGGGTAATCCTGACCTTTGCCTTTTAAGGAAGAATTCTACCAGAACTTAAGGAGTACAAGAGGAATAATGAAAAGTACCAGAAATTAAGACATAAACTATCTCCCTAGTCTAGATTTTATTATGTTTTAGTTTTGCTCACAGTAGTCTAATTTAACTGCTGGAAGTTAATTATTAATTTTTAATTCTTTCAAACTATTTTAAAGCAGAGAATGTAAAAGCATTTTAAACATATACTCACAGAATGTAAACTGCAAAAATTCAAATCTTTCTTTTAGCCTTTTTAATAGAAGAGCAGGAGAAGAAAAAAAACAAAGGCAAACTTCTAAAACAGAATTGCTATGAATGTCAGCTACTTATGTGACTTTATTATTAATCAAAAAAAGAATAAAAGACAAAAATGAAATAATTCACAAATAGTATATTCTTCTATTTTGGTTGAATAGTTTATGAAGGAATAAATTGCCAAGAAAAGACATGGTATCAGGGTTTTATTTGGTTTCTTTGCTATTTTACTGGAATTGCATCCTATTTTGCTTAAGTAAATACTAATGAAAAAGAGCTTGGGTATCATTTTGATCACAGATGATAAAAGAAAATTTACTTAAGAAAAATTATTTCAAGCAAAAAAAATATAGCTGAACCAAACATAATTTGTAGATAACTAAAAGCAATTCTCAATGCAAATTATAAGCCTACCTTAGCTATAATTAAAATTACTAATTAGTCTGGGAATTATACAAAATATTCTTAAAAGATGATCCCTCTTATTTTGAATATTTATATTCAAAGTTGCTAAGCAATAAACAAAATATTTAGATACACAGGTATATACCCAGTATATACTAAATGATCACAGAAATATACAATCTATTACTGAAAAAAATGCTAATATATCTGACATCCTATGAACTGGAATCTCTAAGATTATCACAGGCAGAAATGGGAAGGTACATTTTATTCATATATGGCTCTTTATATCTGTGTGTATGTTCTTATTCTCCCAATGTGCAGATATTTAAATAAAATACTATTTATTCAGAATTATATGTATGACCTCAAAGCTTGACATATAACTAACTGACCCCCATGATGATCCACAGGAGGGAGCATCAAGGAAATAATGTGCTTCAAAATAATGTCTTAAATAAAAACTCTTCAGAAGGAAGTGGGCTCCTATTTAGTTCTTACTGATGGATGATGTTTCATAGTACCTCTTTTAAAAGCTTATTAAATGTGGTCTTTTCAACTATCCATAACACAAACTTCATAGTTAAGACCATGGAATATCAGGTCCTAAAGTTACGTTAGATGATTAAAGTTGATTTATTTTCCAATTTCAAGAAGGTAAAAACGGCGTCCTTAATAAATAAAGTAAAATCTCCCCCACCCCTAATTTAAAAGTATGACTCTAATCTGGATTGCCAAACATCCTATGAATTTAATTAACTATGGGGAAAAACCAGCTTAAATCCTCACACCCAGATTTGAAATCAAATGCATTTTCCAAACAAAACCAGATCCAAACACACATATGTTAATCAACTCTGAAATTTATATATTCCAGCCATGACTATTTTCTCTAATTTTATCCACATTACTTGTTATTACTGGATCCAAATAACTTGTCAGCTCAGGCAGCATGCTATGTAATGCCACTTTACGTTGACATTATGTAGAATTAACTAATTAACTAACCACTGCTTGGTTACATTTCTCACCTGCTTTGGAAATGTTAGTCAAACCAAATCCTATGCATTCTACTTCTTACATCTCTGCCTCTGCCTTCTCTTAGCTCAGGTAGCTTTCAAGGACTTCCATGAGCTGGATGCTAAGAGCCCCTCTGCCCTCATCTCCCACCCCACCCTAACCAACTTCCTTTATTGTAGCCAACTATGAATTACTTGTGTTACCCAGGATGCACTATGCTCCCGCTTATCTGACTGCTCTGCACATGCTCCTCTCTGCCCTACAACACCTTTCTCCTCATCTCCCCACCTTATACTTCACCACAGCAGGTTCTACTCTGGGGAACCTCTCCTAGCAGGAACTAAGGAAGATATGGGGTAGACACTCCTTTTCTAGGACAATTCTTGCTTTCAAGTAAAACTGTGACTGAGCAGAAACTCAGCCAGACATCTTGGTGCAGTGGTAGCAAGTACTACGGAATTCTGAGGACTTCCACGCCATGGGAAGCGAGCCGAAGGATCCCAGAGGGCCAAGTCATCGTATTTGTTATACTCTACACATTTTCACCTCTAAGACCGCAAGCTATTTGAAGTCAGAATTTCAATCTATTTCATTTACTTCCATTCCTGAAGTCTAACAAAGTACATTGCACATCACAGTAAACATTCAAGTAAAAGTTGTTAAGGAGATAAATGAATAAGAAACATAGCCCATAAGACTAAAAAATATAGCACTGATTTCACATTAATAGATTTTTACCTTTAGAAAGCAGGTAAAGACAGAGTTTGAACATACATTTTGCATAATATATTACAACAGACTACTACCTTTTATATTAAAAAGCAGTGTACAATTAGATTTTAATAGAGGTAAAAGGTCTATATGCTATTACAATGAAACTTGATACTACAACACAAAAACTACATACTTCATTTCCATCTAGTCCTGGATTTTATGTTTGAACAATACTATGGCAAAAGTAAGTATATATATTTTTGACTATTTTCACCAATTAGGTTAGAAAAGATCAGAATCAAAATAAATGTGGACCTTACAAATTGCTTTTGAAAATTTAGGTTAATAGCTACTTAGTGCTAATCAGTGAAAGAAAAGTGAAAAGCAACATTGCTTCTACAGGTACAGTAGAAAACCCTGCCCATTCCCCCAATTCTAATATTTTGCAAAATGACTCTAAAAAACGAAAACCCACAACGACACAATTCTTCCTCATCAATATGAAATGGTAAGCCCCACACACTTTGCAGTTATAACTGAAACCTGAACATGCCATAATCTATAAAAAGCACAAATCAAAATGTCTTTTTAACACAGGCAAAATGGCATCCTCAATTCAAAAACAAAGCTCTATTTGCCACATTAGAAAAAGGTATTGGATTATGATAAAAATTCTGACCAAGTTGGAAATGGTGCTCCAGGGTCTTGGAGAATCCTTACCTAATCCTATTCGGTTTGGACTTGTTTCTCGGCTACATCCCTGACTTCTGGGAATCTTGCTTCGTTTTTCTGAAGGGAGTGTCACCGGCGGGCCTCTTGAGGAACCCCCAGCAAGGCCACTATAACCACTTCCCAACAATTTCCCTGGAGAACTTGACCGGCTGCCAGCTAAAAATGAAGCAAAACAAAACTGAATAATGGATGTAATCAGGGAATAAATGATAGTATTTCAGAAACCAGTTTATACATTAATTTGGATCAAATATAAAAATAGCTTTGTAGTTGGTGTTAGTACTAATTTTTTTTTTAAACATTAGGAGCATGAAAGAATATTAAGGTATCATAAAAGAATATACATGGACAGTTACTGGTGCTGTGCTACAAAAATAACTGCAAAACTTCTGATTCAAAAAGCAGGATGAGTACAAATAGCCTCCCTGTTCCACAGGAAAGTTCTAGAAATAATCTCAATGGCATTTCTTTAGTGTTTTGTTCTTTTTTTCTGTGACAGTTGGTATGTCACAATTTTTAAGTATAACTGCTGGAAAAGTATAAATGTTAACAAAAATTTTTTAAACAGTCGTTATAGAAAATGGATTCAAGAGAACTCTATTAATTTAACAATTTGAAGAAAAGGGAGAAGGGGAAGAAATAAATAGAAACATGATAAATAAAAATCACAAAATAAGATGGTAGGACTAAGCTCAAATATATCAGTAATCATAATAAATGTGGCTACGCCCTAGCCGGTTTGGCTTAGTGGGTAGAGCGGAGTGAAGGGTCCCAGGTTTAATTCCGGTCAAGGGCACATGCCTGGGTTGCGGGCTCGATACCCAGTGCGGGGGTGGGAGGGCGTGCAGCAAGCAGCTAATCAATGATTCTCTCTCATCATGGATGTTTCTATCTCTCTCTCCCTCCTTCTTCCTTTCTGAAATCAATAAAAATATATTTTTTTAAAATCTTAAAAAAATAAATGTGGCTAGATTAAATTCACCTATTAAAAGACAAAGATGATTGGATTGGTTTTAAAAAAAATAAAATAAAAATTAAATGTATGTTGTTTATAAGAAACAACATACCTAAAACAACAAAATAGAGTAAAACACAGCATTAAAAAAAGAACAGAGGATATATTATATTGACAAACAAATTGTCCATGAAGATATAATAATCATGAACCTTTATGCTCCAAATAACATAGCTTTGTAATATAAAACATAAAACTAAAAATACAGGAAGAAATTGAAAAAGTCCTAATTATTAATATACCACGCAGAAAGACTAATAACCACTAAAAAAAATAACATACCTCGCAGAAATTGTCAGAGTAGTCAAAATTATACAGACATGTATAAACACTTTCCACAGACACAAGTGTAACTCAACAAACGGAATACACGTTTTTCACCTTTACACATATACTACAAAAACCAACTGTATACTAAGCCTCAAAGGAAATCCCAAAAACCTACAAAAGTAGCAGCCATACAGATCACATTCTCTGAGATGTATGCAATAAATTATAAAATAAAAACAAATGATATGCTTAGTAATTTTTATTATGGCTAAGTGACTAGATACCTAAATAACAATTTCTTAGGGTCAAAATTATCAACACACCCAAATGGCAGTAATTTACTTAGATCATCTGCTTAAGTACAGAAGGCAATAAAATTCTAAAACAAAGTGCACATTATTATTTACCAGAGTAAGGATGAGCCAAAGGTAGAACCTTCGAAAAACACTTAACTGGAAATTACACACACACACACACACACACACACACCATTCAAATGAATCATTAAGGTGCATACTCACAAAAATTAGTACTCTATAATGATTTAACTATAATTTAAAGTGAAATTCATTGCAAAAATCACAAGTACACATTACCATGAAGAACCCACCTCATGATCCATTAATTTTGCCCATAAAATTTGAGCATACACATAAACCATTAAGCTATGTAAAAGGAAAAAGAAAATCTATTTCAAATTTTGGATTTTAACATACAGAAAAAATGCAGAAAGATTAAGCTCATAATATAAAAATTAATATTGTGCAAGGAACATGGGTGAGAGAGAACGAACAAAACAACAAACAAACAAGAAGAGAAATGGCTTACCACCAGCAGGATTAGCAGATCTGGATCCTTGATTATGAGAGCAGACCAAAGAACAGGCAAGAAGTGGATTAAAAGACAATAACACAATACAGAGGTCAGCATGCAAACACATGTCTTTGTTCACAAACTATCTTTTTCTAGTTCTTAATCCTCCTAGTCTACTTTGTACTCATGTTGATTTTATATGTCACACTATTTAGCGTTTATTTCTTGTCTGTACATGGAACACTTACAAACCCACAATATGCCAGGAACAGTGCCCGACGTAAGGGATGCAGAGAAGAGTAAGAAAGTGATGACCTTCTGGGAGTACATCTGCTCTCTGGCTCCCAGCACCCTGAGGGAAGTGACTTATCTGTGCATCACTACCACCTAACACAGGGCTCACCACCAGGAGTGCTCAATAAGCAGCAATGAATTAAAAAGAGCTACTAACAGTTCACCAGAGTGCCTGATGCCAAATCCTCAAATATGTAATATTAATCCTCTAAGATTTAAAGCCTCAATATTTAAATCTTCAAATATTTAAAATATGTGAACTGTTAAGAGCCCTAAATCTAATATCAATAAAATCTACATACTATTAAACCAGGACTCTGAATGCTAGTATATCTACATTTGTAATATATATATATATATATATATATATATATATATATGCTCATGTTTTCTTCCTATCAAAATTATTTTTAAAAAATATTTAATTTCTATTTATGAGCTTAAGACCCAGGCTTGATCACTTGTTGCTGTTGTCTCCTGCAGTGGGTGGAGTAAAATGAAGTTTTTAAGGTGGAGCCCGAAGGCAGGGAGAGTGCAGTGTTTTTGTAAGACTGAGTTAAGGCTCAGCCATCCCCCTCAACACCACTC